TTACAGAACAACACGATTAAAAGAAGATATAATATGCACAACAAAAAAATAAAACAAAAAAATAAGAGCAACATAGCTAAGAGCAACCATAAAATAGGAGTAGCAAACCTGTATCAGACTCAAATATAAACGAGTAAAACCAACCAAAGAAAAGAGTCAATATACTAAAGAACACAGGTAGGTTTTTAAAAGACTTGAAAGCAGACAGAGAATATTCAAGATTCAAGATTCAAGATGTTTATTTGTCATATGCACAGATTTACACCATGCATTGAAATTCTTAGGTTGCAAAAAGTTTGCCACAGTATAAAATGTACACAATATACACACAATATATTTAAAAGATGCAAGTGTAGAATTGCATTCGGCAGAGAGACATTAAAAGCATCATAAAAAGCATATACATTGAACAATGCAAACATTCACAGTGTAGTGCAAACAGTGAATAAAGTGCTAGTATGGAGTTGTCAATGGACTGAGTCATTCAACATCCTGATGGCCTGTGGATAAAAACTGTTTTAAAGTCTGGATGTTCTGGCTTTCATGCTCCTATAGCGTCTGCCAGAAGGTAACAATGTGAACAGTATATGCTGAGGGTGTGTAGTGTCTCTGATAATGTTATGTGCCCTCTTAGTTACCCCGGTTTTGTAAATATCCTGAAGTGATGGAAAAACTGTTCCACAGATGTATTGTGCAGTTTTAATCAAACGCTTGAGAGCTTTCCTTTCCTGTACTGTGCAGTTTCCAAACCACACTGTGATAGAATTAGTCAGGATGCTCTCCACTGTACATCTATAGAAATTGCTAAGGAGTTTGGTGGACAGACCAAATTTCCTCAGCTTTCTTAGAAAGTACAGCCGTTGTTGAGACTTACTGACAATGTGCTGGGTGTTGTGAGACCAAGAGAGGTCCTCACTGATGTAGGTGCCAAGGAATTTAAAAGTTTTCACCCTCTCTACCTGTGCTTCACCGATGTAAAGTGGGCCGTGCTGATCATCTCTCCTCCTCCTCGGGTCGATAATCATCTCCTTAGTTTTCTCTGCATTTAAGGAGACATTATTTGTGTGGCACCAGGACACCAGCTGAGCCACCTCCTCCCTATAGTCTGTCTCAGCCCCACCAGTGATCAGGCCGATGACTGTTGTATCATCCGCAAACTTGATGATGGTGGTATTACGCTGAGTAGGGGCACAGTCATAAGTGAAGAGGGTGTACAACAGAGGGCTCAGCACACAGCCCTGGGGTGTCCCTGTGCTCACCATCCTTGTACCTGATGTCTGGGTACCAACTCTGACTGTCTGGGGTCTGTCTGTGAGAAAGTCCAGGACCCAGCTGCAGAGAGAAGGTGCCAGTCCAAGGATGAGGAGCTTCTCAGCCAGCTTGGTTGGGAGGACCGTGTTGAATGCCGAGCTGTAATCGATAAAGAGCATTCGAACATATGTATCCTTGTTCTCCAGATGTGTGAGAGCTGTGTGGATGGCAGTGTTTACTGCATCATCAATGGATCGGTTCCGACGATACGCAAACTCTAATGGATCCAGTGTGTCTGGTTAATGTGGTTCATGACTATCCTCTCAAAACACTTCATCACAATTGAAGTGAGTGCGATGGGACGATAGTCATTTAAACATGTCACGGTGTTTTTCTTGGGTAGGGGGACAATGGTAGTGATCTTGAAACAGGTAGGTACAAAAGATAGTGAGAGGGATAGATTGTAAATGTCCGTTAGTACCTCAGCCAGCTCCGCTGAGCAGACCTTCAGTGCACGGCCTGGGATGTTATCAGGGCCTGCTGCCTTCCGGGTATTCGTTCTCTTCAGTGTCCTGCTCACCAGGGGCCTCATTTATAAACGTTGCGTACGCACAAAAGAAGGCGTACGCCGCTCTCTACGCAATAATTGGTATTTATAAAAAGCAAACTTGACGGTAAAATGTGCGGTCCTTCACGCAAGCTCTGACCCAGGCGTACGCACAAAAACGGGTGAAATGAGAAATGGCGACACCGTCGGCAGATGGAAGAAACACGTGAAAGTGTGTGAAACTGTAGACCGTTGTGTAAAATAAATGGCAATACTGCCTCTCATAAATAACACGAAGACTTCACAAAGCAAGTCTTACAATTAACAGCCTACACGAACACCCGTTTGATCGATCTGCAACAGAAATGCAAATTAACACATATTTGCAAAAAGAAAAGTAAAATATGTTCTGCAATAATATTGGCATGTTATACAATTCATTCTCATAAATAAGATGGTAAACAGAACGAAATAATGTACAAAACTGATATTCTCGCCAATGTGTCCGTCAGGCGGAGCAGATATACAGTAGATGCAATTAGATAGTCAGATAGATAGATAATTAGGGAGAGATAGATAGATAGATAGATAGATGTATTATTTGTCCACTGGGGAAAGCTGTTTTCATAGTAAAAATGTCTTTATCAGCTACGGAATCATGGTATTCATGCATATGCCTTTAGTTTGTTTTATTTTTGATAAAATAACGTATGACGTAGACCTATGTCTCAATCATTCAGAAAGCTGCAAGAAATTACATTTGCGCTGAACTATTTCCCATTTCCAAGTAGATTATAACCGACATCTGTAGCTTGTCATTTCTTTTTTATTTCGGCCACAGTCCGAGGTTGTGAGGCTACAGCATTTACGGCGTCTGCAACCTTTTGCCACTCAAGTGCCTTTTTGGCATTAGTAGCTAATGCCCACACTGTGCCCTCCAAACAACATTTTTCTCCTCTTTTCCACCTCGCCAACGGTAACTTCTTCACATAGAGTGAAGTTAAGTTTTTTTGATTTCCTCTCTATGTTTGCCATGATTTCGCAATCGATGAATATTAACTTGTGGGCGTTTCACGGACTATTTATGGGCAACTATGGGCGTGACATGAAGCCGCAAAAGCTGCGCTACATTTAGAGTTGATTGTGATTTATTAAGGGAAAAATGCGTAGGATGTGCGTGCGCACGGTTTTATAAATCCGAATATTTCTGTGCGTACGCACGTCCTATGTTTCATCCGTACGCCACTTCTGACGCAAATCCTACGCAAAGTTTTATAAATGAGGCCCCAGAGCTGATGTCACCGTGAATGGAGAGCTCTTTGCTGCCTCTGTTGGGATAGTCCCTCTGCTGGTGTTGAGGGTGTCGAAGCGGGCGTAGAACTTATTCAGCTCATCTGGTAGTGTGCCTTGGTTAGTTGTGACCTCCCTGCTCCTCTGCCGATAATCTGTGATGTGTTGCAGGCCCTGCCACATGCGCCGGGGATCCGCGGTGGTATAGTATCCCTCCAACTTCGCTCTATACTGTCTCTTGGCTTCTCTGATGGATCTGCGTAGATCGTATCTGGCCTTTTTGTAGCCCTCAGCATCACCAGAGGCAAATGCAGTGGAACGGGCACGCAGCATAGACCTTACATCACAGTTTAGCCAGGGTTACACAACCCTGAATATGAGACACAATACATTGTATCTATGTGTGTGAAAGATGTGATTTAAAAACAAACAAACAAATTATTCCTGCTGAAGGGAACGTGGTTTCACTTTCTCTTGATGGTCCCTTTAACACATCCTGTTGACTAGAAGTAATACTACACCTCATTAGAGTGTTGTAATAGATTACAATTTCTTATTATATTTCTCCTGTATTGTACATTAGGCCTGCCACAATCATGAATGTTGTGCTCATTAAATATTAAATACAAAAAAATATTACATATTAAATACAAATAATGACAATAAAAGAGACAATTTACAAATTAACAAACAACAGGTTTGTATTGTTGTAGAAAACAAGTGACTCACCACGAGCGTTTCAATGTACAATCTGTCACTAACTTTATGCACATGACAAACTTGAACATCATGAACTCATTTCGGGGTACATGAATGGGAAAATAAGAAATCAAGCTTTATTTCTTACAGAAAAGGGAAAAAAAAGAAAGGCGGTTTAGTGGCCGTTCTCTTTTGCAAACAAAACCGAGTCAACAAACGAGATGAAGATACACGGATCTAACGGCACACGTGATACATAATATAACATGATATCACAAGCAAATACTGACCGTGTGACATTTATGAAAGTCATTGTATCTCCAAAATGGCGACTTCTCATCCATGAAGTTTTAACTTGCTTTCACTTCCTGAAGGAGGCTCGAGACTGTAACAGAGAATGTCTAGACTCTAGACAGAGAATAGGCTTTATGCACAGCTTCACTACTTCCTGAACTTCAGCCAGCTCCTTTGTTTCCTGTCTGCCATTATTGGACAAACTGATTAATCCTGGTGTGCCTGATTATTGTTACTGAGACCAGGCACACCTGGATTAATCAGTTTGTCCAATAAGTTCAAAAATGTGATGACGTCACATAATAGCAGAATGCTAGCGTGTTCCGGCCAACAACGGCCTAACCTGTAAGAAATCGAAAGGACATAAGTACTTGTTCATTCGACTTTTGGCCTATAATCTATATTGAACTTAGCCGTTTAGCTCCATAGACTACCATTCATTCTGCACTCGCCCGCGATCACCTCCAGTGGAACTCTAATGGAACTGCAACCAAGATGATACACAATGGGGCTATGTTAGCTGGGTATTGGTTGGCGGAAGTGACAGACTGTAAGTTTTGAATGCTTATTATCTTCTAAATGTGAATGTTGTATTTGTTTTGGAGCACACTAGCTTACAGATAACCTTAAGGTTAACATATTCATACCAAAAGCCAAAAAACTAAAATTTTGATTGATGGGGACTTTAAACAGTTGACAGAATAGGGACTACACGACATGACTGCTGAAAAATGCTCAAAAATACTTGACATTACAACACTCTGAACCATTCTTATAAAGCGTATATAAACTATATAAAATACATATATTTGTAGATGACCCTTTTTTTGTCTTATTCCAATACAATCTTCACTCTCCATCCCAGTAGGGGGCGGAAATGCACCAACAGATGGTTTGACAACCAACTAAGATGTAGTAGTAGGAGACGACGACAAAGACAACATCAAGAACATCATCATGGTGATGAGGTGTATTTTAGGCTGTTCCCCTCCCCAAACCCTCTTCCCTATCCCGAAAGTGCCCTGGCTGCGCGTCCGCTGGCTGCAGTTTCTGCACTTCGACGACGGAGGCGTCACGGAGAACACGCGTCTGTGTGCGCGGCACTTCACGCAGGACAGCTTCAAAAACTTCCGCCAGCACGAGATGGGCTTCGTGAAGCTGCTGCTGCTGTCGGACACCGCGGTGCCGTGCGTCTACACGGTCGGGGCGTCGTCGGGCGCCAAGGTCAGTGACTGACTGACGCGGTCTAACTACAAACACTCGTATAACGTTTTACTTCGAGGTTGTGAGATGTTTTTTGATGTGTGTGTGCTGCACCCGTCCGACAGCCTCTCACACGGGACGTGGGCTGCCAGTGTTCCCCCACACCGGTGAAGAAGAGCACCGCGGTGCAGGCGACGCGCTCCGCGCCCAAGCCCAAGCGACGCAGCAAAGGCAAGCTCATACTCTACTGACTGACTGGTTGTATCTATGCAGAGTGTGTACATGTTTTTCTATCCCGGTGGGGAGTTAAACCTGAATGCACAGAGACTCATGGGGACTCGTGTTACTGTGGATCTAATGGGTACACTTAAGCTTATAAATCATACAGATTTTTTTTTTATGAAAATGTAAAAAATGCAGAATGTTTCCTGTGATGGGTAGGGTTAGTGTAAGGGGATAAAATATACAGATTGTACAGTATAAAAACCATTACGTCTATGGAGAGTCCCCACAAAGATAGTAAACCAGACGTGTGTGATGGGTAGGTTTAGGGGTTGGGTTAGTGTTTGTGTGTGTGTCTGTGATGGGTAGGTTTAGGGGTCGGGTTAGTGCGTGTGTGTGATGGGTAGGTTTAGGGGTTGGGTTAGTGTTTGTGTGTGTGTCTGTGATGGGTAGGTTTAGGGGTCGGGTTAGTGCGTGTGTGTGATGGGTAGGTTTAGGGTTAGTGTAGGGGGACAGAATATACAGTTTGTACAGTATAAAAACAAATGTCTATGGAGAGTCCCCCACAAAGATAGCGAACCAGACTGTCTGTTTGTGTGTGTGTGAATTTCAGCGGTCCAGGTGAAACCCGCCACCCTCTCTATTGGGATGTCCTGCTCCACGGAGCATCCTGGCCCCGGTCTCGATGTAACGTGTTCTCCAAACAACAAGAGGCCGCGTGTTAAAGAGGAGGATGATGGTGAGATGGAGGAGAGCTGCTCGAGCTGCACAGAGGAATCAACAGCAGCAGCGTCTGATCTCACCTACGAGTCTGAGGACAGCGACACGTGAGTGTGTGTGTGTGAGGACAGTCGAGAGGACAGCGACACGTGAGTGTGTGTGTGTGTGAGGACAGTCGAGAGGACAGCGACACGTGAGTGTGTGTGTGAGGACAGTCGAGAGGACAGCAACTCGTGAGTGTGTGTGTGAGGACAGTCGAGAGGACAGCGACACGTGAGTCTGTGTGTGTGAGGACAGTCGAAAGGACAGCGACACGTGAGTGCGTGTGTGTGTGAGGACAGTCGAAAGGACAGCGACACGTGAGTGTGTGTGTGTGTGTGAGGACAGTCGAAAGGACAGCGACACGTGAGTGTGTGTGTGTGAGGACAGTCGAGAGGACAGCGACACGTGAGTGTGTGTGTGAGGACAATCGAGAGGACAGCGACACGTGAGTCTGTGTGTGTGAGGACAGTCGAGAGGACAGCGACACCTGAGTCTGTGTGTGTGAGGACAGTCGAGAGGACAGCGACACGTGAGTGTGTGTGTGTGTGAGGACAGTCGAAAGGACAGCGACACGTGAGTGTGTGTGAGGACAGTCGAAAGGACAGCGACACGTGAGTGTGTGTGTGTGTGAGGACAGTCGAAAGGACAGCGACACGTGAGTGTGTGTGTGTGAGGACAGTCGAGAGGACAGCGACACGTGAGTGTGTGTGTGAGGACAATCGAGAGGACAGCGACACGTGAGTGTGTGTGTGTGTGAGGACAGTCGAGAGGACAGCGACACGTGAGTGTGTGTGTGTGTGAGGACAGTCGAAAGGACAGCGACACGTGAGTGTGTGTGTGTGTGAGGACAGTCGAAAGGACAGCGACACGTGAGTGTGTGTGTGTGTGAGGACAGTCGAAAGGACAGCGACACGTGAGTGTGTGTGAGGACAGTCGAGAGGACAGCGACACGTGAGTCTGTGTGTGTGAGGACAGTCGAGAGGACAGCGACACCTGAGTCTGTGTGTGTGTGTGAGGACAGTCGAGAGGACAGCGACACGTGACAGCGACACGCCGTCCTTCAATACCTACCAGATACGGATTTGTTGCGGAACGGCTGCGGCCATGACTGACAGCTGAAGTCACGAGGACACACGATATCTCGCGAATTTACGTTTGATCGCGCGATATAACAGGATTTAGTTTCTATAAACAGAACCACAAAACCAGCAACAGTTTGTTTCCATCCAGAGGAGTACAGGGGAAACAACTCTGTGCTGACCTGCTGATCTCCCTTTTTTGTGGAGATTATTGTGATTCTAATACTATATTTATAATTAAATATAATCAACTTATAAAATGCTAAATGTTTATTTGGGTTCCTTTTTGAATGTATTGGGAAAGTAGTAGGCTGTGTAAATAAAGTTAACTATTGTTCTTGTTGGAAAAGGGAAAACTATATTTTTATTTTGGAAATTACCGGATGTTTTATTTAGTTTCTGTGTTCTGTTCTGTTATCTTTGTTTATCGACTTCCTGCGGCGCTCTCCGGCATCCGGCAAAAATAGAAACTTTGCGTATCTGCTCCGGAGGGCTGCGGTCGCCGGAGCTGGGACGGAGTCGGAACGCAGCCGTTCCGCAGTCAGTGAAAATACACACATTGACTTGAATGGAAACCTATTGACTCCGCCGCCGTTCCGGAGCGGATCCGCAGCCGTTCCGCAGTTGGTGGAAATTGGGGGTCAGTCTGTGTGTGTGTGTGTGAGGACAGTCGAGAGGACAGCGACACGTGAGTCTGTGTGTGTGTGTGTGTGTGTGTGTGTGTGTGTCACGTGATCGAGTGTTGCAGGTGATGTTGTGAATCCTGCAATGTACAATGAAATACAATGTAGGTCGCTTTGGATAAAAGCGTCTGCCAAATGTTGTGAATCCTGCTGATCTGTGTAATGGAAAAACATACTCATGTGATTCTGGTCCAATTCACATGCTTTAGGTTTGATTCCGATTCATATACAGTACATGTACACTTTAAGGGGGGGGGGGGGGGGTACAACTAACCCTGTACAATACTATAATACAGACTATACTATAATACCCTGTACAATACTATAATACAGACGCGGCCTTTGCAACAGAAACCCCTCTTCTCGTTCAGGGGGAACCGCTGCGATGGCATGATGTCCACTGGCACATGTTATATCAGCTGATATATAATAAACAATACATGTATCACTCAAGCCTCTTCAATAGGTATCTTGCGTTTTGTTACGTGTAGATCACTCTTTGCTGCTCACTACTATGATGGAAGTGCGGATTGGGAATATGTCAGCTGAAGATGGCCAGAGTTGAAAAGAGTGAATCCTTTTCATCAGAAAAACAGCACAGATATACAGTAAGTTGGGCAAAACATTCAGTTGTTATATTAAAGTAATCGGCACACGCGTGGATGTACATCTATAGACAAAATGTTGTGGTTTTATTATTTAAAAGATTAAAAAAGGTTTAAAAAAAACATGATATAAAAATAAATATATATATCATGTGAATAATAATTGAATAAATATCATGTGAGTCATATGAGTAATTGTGTTGTGATTTCAGGCTATGTGGACACACGCAGGCCTCCAGACAGACACAGCCTGACTGCAGCGTTACACACCGACATCTGTGTGTTCAGAGACTGCAGCGTTACACACCAACATCTGTGTGTTCAGAGACTGCAGCGTTACACACCAACATCTGTGTGTTCAGAGACTGCAGCGTTACACACCGACATCTGTGTGTTCAGAGACTGCAGCGTTACACACCAACATCTGTGTGTTCAGAGACTGCAGCGTTACACACCGACATCTGTGTGTTCAGAGACTGCAGCGTTACACACCAACATCTGTGTGTTCAGAGACTGCAGCGTTACACACCGACATCTGTGTGTTCAGAGACTGCAGCGTTACACACCGACATCTGTGTGTTCAGAGACTGCAGCGTTACACACCGACATCTGTGTGTTCAGAGACTGCAGCGTTACACACCGACATCTGCGTGTTCAGAGACTGCAGCGTTACACACCGACATCTGTGTGTTCAGAGACTGCAGCGTTACACACCGACATCTGTGTGTTCAGAGACTGCAGCGTTACACACCAACATCTGTGTGTTCAATGACTGCAGCGTTACACACCAACATCTGTGTGTTCAGTGAGAATGAACAGTGTGAGGGAAACTGCGTAAACTTCCTTGAAGATTGTAAAGTTCTGCTCAAATACTTATTATTTATTATACGAGGTCTTAGCCAGAACTGAATATGTGTTCTGCAAAAGAGCAACATAAAAATGCAGTGGAGCAGATTGGATCTTCACATAATTTATTAAAACACAAATTTAATAAAAAAAAAATATCATTGAGGATGTAACAGAGGCTTCAGAACATTTGTCCAGAACCTATAAAATGGTAATGACAAAGGTTTGTCAGTGCTATAAACACTGATAAATAAATGAGTAAATGTAATCGAACATATCAACTAACAGAAAAGGTCAAATAAATTATCCAGGGAATAACTTAAATTTGCTGAAGAGAAAAGGTTTCAAAGTATTTGTGATGTGGTTCAGGATTTTGGAAGGAAGAAGACTTGGTCGGCGTGACTGGGACTCGTACGTTTATTAGTAAACACAAACAAAAGGTGTGCACACTGCGCATTCACCACCTTGAACTTAAAGGGCTGTAGGGCTAGATACAACGGGTGATCCGCGCGTTGGTGGAGCCACTGCAGGGGTGCGTGGTCCGAACAGAGAGTGAATTCCTGTCCCAGGAGATAATAGCGGAGGGTGAGGACAGCCCACCTAATCGCTAGACATTCTTTTTCTAGAGGGTGTGGACGTTCCTCACCCTCTATCTCCTGGGACAGGACCGCTCCAAGCCCCCTGTCCGATGTGTATGTCTGCAACAAAAAAGGGAGATAAAAGTCTGGAGAATGTAAGAGCGGTCCGCCACACAGGGCAGCCTTTACTTGGGTAAAAGCCTACTGGCACTGCTCCGTCCACTGGACCGGATCTGGTGCTTCCTTTTTTAGTTAGGTCAGTCAGCGGGCTGGTGAGGTCCGAATAATTAGGTAGAAACCTATAATATCCTGCCAGGTCCAGGAACTGCCTCACCTCCTTTTTGGTCTTGGGTCTCGGTCTCGGTTGCAACTGCTGCGGTCTTATCAATTTGGGGACGCACCTGTCTGTAACTCATGTTGAAGCCCAGATACCTGACCTCCACCCGCCCAACCGCACACTTTTTCGGGTTGGCCGTTGGTCCGGCCCCTCTCAGCGACCTCAGGACAGCCTGAAAATGCTGCATAATTTTGCCCATAAGACGCTGAAAGGTGGCCGGAGGCCCAAACAACCCGAAAGGAAGTGTCACAAATTGGTGTAATCCTGTAACTCTGCCTGTAAATTGACCACATCAGTGAGCTGGGAGGGTGAGAGGTGATCTCCTGGGGTCAGCGCTAGAGATTGCCTTTTTGTGTTCGCCTCTGGCCCAAGATCTTCCTCTCCGCTCACCACCGTCGCCAGCATCACTGATTCCACCTCTCTCCATCTTTTAATGAGATTGAGATGGTAAATCTGATGTGCCCCGTTCCTGTCTGTTCGCGATACCTCATAATTGAGATCCCCAACTCGCCGTGTGAACTCAAAGGGTCCTTGCCACTTCGCGAGTATTTAGAGCTAGAAGTTGGGAGTAATACAAGCACTTTGTCTCCCGGTGCAAATTCACGCTGTCTAGTTCCCCTGTTGTATAGCCGGCTTTGTCTGTCTTGAGCCTGTAACAAATTCTCCATAGAGAGCCGCCCCAACGTGTGGAGTTTTGTTCTCAGGTCCAGGACATATTGAATTATGTTCTTACTGTTCGCAGGTCCCTCCTCCCAAGTCTCTCTAACGACATCTAGCACCCCGCGGGGATGACGCCCATAGATGAGCTCGAAGGGGGAAAACCCTGTGGAGGCTTGAGGGACCTCGCGCACAGCGAACAAGAGGGGCAATTTTTGGCGTCTTCCTGAACGAACTTCCGAATCATGGTTTTCAACGTGCGGTTAAATCGTTCCACCAGGCCCTCCGTTTGTGGGTGAAAGACGTTGGTGCGAATCGATTTAATGCCCAACAATTCGTAAAGTTCGCGAATAGTCCGTGACATAAACGCCGTGCCTTGATCGGTGACAATCTCTTTCGGGATTCCCACCCGAAGGTTGAGAAGAAGGTTGGAGAAGCTGCTCGACCTGTTCAAAGGCATGTTTGAGTATTTCGTCCATCGCGCTCTGAGAGGATTCTCCTTTCAAGAGCGCTGTGTTCCCCTTGCTTATCTCCCATTGGTCCCGACCTGAGAAACCGCCCCCTTCCCCCGCTCCCCTTTCTTTCAAGAAACATCCGCACATAAATATCCCAATCATATATTAAAGTCTGGCTAATTTGTCCCCAAAAGTAGCGGATGACGGAGGTGCGGGCTAACCGGCACCTCTACATTATGCTTTTGCCCCCGAAATTGAATAGCCACCAACATTAAGGGATAATTCACCACGTCCCCGTGCACACACAGAACTTTAATCATGCAGCTCTTATCTAATGCCTCTGGTTGAATCAGGCATTGATGAATGGAGGTTTGGTTACATCCTGAATCCACCAAAGCCTGATACGTACCCCCCTTGATACTCACAGTTATCTGATACAGGCCAGCTTGATCGGGGGCGGCCTGCGGAGTGTTCGGGACCTGGATCATTGTTCCCACCTCCATCACTGGACACGATCGATAAAATGACCCGGGTCCCCACAACGCCAAAAGGCCGGCCCAGACCTCCCCGCCGCCCTGGTGGCAGGAAGCAGGTCAAGGAATTGCCGTGGAGAGAGCGGAGGAAAAGGAGTTGCGGCGGTGCTGCCCCTGGGTGGGGCTGTAGGACCAGCTGTCTGCTCTCCCGCTGGCCCACTCCTCCATCTGGGTGCCGGTCAGGGCGAGAAACCCCCTTCTGACCTAGGGAGCGAGACAGGTTTAGATGGGGAAGAAGTGGGGGAAAACAAAGAGGAAGAGGGAGAGAGAAAGAGAGAAGATGCTGGTAGGGGTTCGCCCACCCCGGGGCACGCCACCATCTGGTCCCCTGGCCATCAGGGGGCTTCCCCTGGCCATCAGCCATTTGCGGTATGAGTCCCGGAGCTGTTGCGCCATTATAAAGGGTCGGTCAGCTTCTCCGAGGTCCAGTGATCGGAACCTCTGACAGTGTTGTTCTGGACTCCAGCCGACCCGCTGCAGGATGGCTCGCTTCAGGTCTTCATAGACCAGGAGGTTCTGGCCTGGTAGTTGTTGTGCGGCCACTTGTGCCTCTCCTGAGAGCAGTGGAATGAGCCGCATTGACCTGTCCGCCGGTGCCCACCCACAGGCCTCAGCGGACCTCTCAAAAAGTTCAAGGAACGCCTCTGGGTCGTCTTGTTGTCCCATTTTGTTAAGAGGCACGTGAGTGGGCACTGCTGGGGCAGTTGGATTGGCTGCGGCAGGCCCGACGATCTTCTGACTTACCGGGCGATGTGGTTCGGAAGGAAGACAGGTTTGGCGTGACTGTGACAGTCTATTTATTAGTAAACACAAACAAAAGGTGTGCACACTGCACATTCACCGTAGTCAGCACTACAGCACAAAACAAATCACACTCAAACTCTTTCCACTATATTAACAGCTTTGAACTCTTCCGACTGGGTGATCGCTGGCGGCGTACCAGTTCTCAGTCCTCGTCTCTTGTCTCTCACTCCACAGCGGCTTTTATCCGGTCTCTCCACGCCAATTACTGCAACAAGACACAGGTGTTCGTCACTTGCACTTGACCTACTTGCACACCGCTCGTCTCCTTTCTCTCTCTCCCGTTACAGACCTCGCGGAACCACGCCCCCCTCGCCACAGTATTGTGTGTGTGTGTGTGTGTGTGTGTGTGTATATATATATATATATATATATATATAGGGGTGAGCGGGGCACAAACTAACACAGGGCTGGTTTAAAACTTTCCACATTTTATTCAACCTTTATTTAACCAGGTAAATCCCATTGAGATATCACGGTCTCTTCTTCCAGGGGCCCTGTTCAAGACGGCAGCATATCGTTTCACTCAGAGATAACCATAAAAAAACAATACTCATTCAAAACAAAAAGTAAAATCAAGAAAAGCACTTACAAGGCTCCTTTAAAACACTTTGCAGAAGACATTTAAGAGTACTCAGAGGCGGCAATATCTCTAGTGTAAGTACATTTTGCAGATTGTTCCAGGCCCAGGGAGCATGAAGGTCCGTACTTCAGAACTTATAACCGAATGTGTGATAGAAATCTGGGACAATAACTATTTGTTTAAAAAATTAAGAGCCAGCATGATGAAACTTAGTCTATTTACTAGTTGCCATATCAACACAATATTGAGGAAAAAGTGCACCAAAATTCAGAAATCTTTGGAAAATTTCACTGAACATTTATTTAACCATTGCAAAAGTAAATTTCTTACTGAAGATCAAGAAAAAAAGTATACACTTTATTAATTAAACAAAACCACATAACTGTACTAGACATGTGTGAAATAATTAATGTGGGAATAAATAAATACTCTGAACCCTAAGTGGATTTACACAGACTGAGGAAGTCGAGAAGTGTTAGGTTGTGCACCACTCTCCCCTAGTTTTGAATGTTGGATGTTCGGCTCATTGTTTGTGTATGCGCCACTTTCCATATACAATGAACAAATTATTGAACAGATTTTGTTACAAACTCTTGTTAAAGAATAAAGGTATTCTGTGTGATGCATTGAGAAAAATGGACATGTATTTGACATAATCAACTGTTTCACAACCCATTTATATATATATAAAAAAAGAATAACATATATTTTTTTTTTAATAGAACCACATAAGTCACCTTTATTTATATAGCGTTTTTTACAATACAGATGTACATATAAATGTAACATCATGAACCTTAAGTCAAAAGTAATAGACAAAATAGAGTAAAGCTTAAATACATTATGTAATAATAAGTAAAAAAAAAAAAATCATTATGTTGTTAATACATAATATAAAAATAATATAATAAGCTAAAACCAAAAACGTGAAAAGGTTCACTGGGAATCGAGATGAATGTGAGTGTGGGGCAATCTGCAGAAGAAAAAAAAAGTGCATAACTAAGAATATAGAATAAAATATATAAAAACAATTCCTCATGGAGAAGGCATTTTATACATGCAGTTAAAATGTGAAGCGTTCTGCACTTGGTCTCTCATATTAAATTACGCTTCTTCAGCTTCGTTAAATTCACATTCAAATCTTGTGATTGACAGTTAGATGTTATTCATGTAGGTGGCGCTATACAAAGAGACAGTTAATCCGCCATTAAACACGGAAGAAGAAGAAGATCGTACGTCACTGATTCTGACCAAAACAAACCCCGGTATCTCTGCTCTTCAACATGGCCGTGTCTCGGTTACCAGCCGCTGCACTGAGTCTCAAACAGGTACAGTCGCTCACCACTGCCGCTAAACACCCGTGTGTACAGCACGAGGAGATCCGCGGTCAGCGCTGTTTGGACGCGTTCAAAAACAGCGCGACGCGAGATCTTTACGTAACGCGACGACCAGAGACATTTATGTGACATGCAAACACATACATAAATCTAGAAGTAATATGTTTTTCTGTCAAGAAAGCGAATCACTCAGAACAAAATTATTTGGGGGATTTTATAGAATATATTAGTTTGAGCTTACCATTATAATGCGATTACCATTAATAATATATTTTATGTATTTATAAATACGTTTTGTATCCCCAACAAAGTTAGAGAGAAATACACTTAAGAATTTTACATAAAATATATATAACGATATCACATAGATTTGGTAATGATTTTTAAAATTGTGTTAAATCAATAAATCTTGAGTTGATCATCATCTTTTTTTGTAATGTCCCCTTATCAATTATTTTTGGTTTGATCTATCCAAATTCTTTGCCTCAGAAACCGAATCGGATTTTGCCTTACACCTTTATGTGATAAAATTGATTTTTCTCATTGTATTTATAATATTGAATATGTAAGGAGTATAATTATTATACAAATCTTGTGCAATACAACTCTAAATGACTTTAACTGCCTATCTATGACAAAAAAGTATTAAAAATGGTAAAAGCTCTTAAATTGTATGACAACTTCTGAATGTATCATAATTTGTTATTTGTAGTCAGGGCCTCTTTATAATGAACTTAGTACCATTTTCTGTACTTCGGTTTTGTGTCTCTTTTATTTTTAAACTTATGAGCAGATGCTCAAATGAATGAAATGACCTTAAACTCTTTCCCCACCAATTGACGAGTTATTATCCAGCGTTAATTTACTTAATTGCTCAATACTTATTGAATTATCCTTGTATCATCTGTTCACATGATATTTCAATGATGAAAAGAAAAAGTGAATACATAGACCAACAATTAAAAACAAGTGTGCAGTCAGACGCAGCTCGGGAATGTATGAAAGCTGCAGTATGAAGTGTTGATGTGGTGTTGTGGTCAGTTCTTGCAGAGACAGAAGGTTCTGGGTGTGTACAGAGATCTGCTCCGAAACATCCGCAAAATCCCACTGGAGTCCGATCGCAGATACCTGAGAGACTGGGCTAGAGAAGAGTTCAAGAGGAACAAGAGCGAGACAGACCAGGTGACCTCACACACACACATTCTTCCCTATCAGCTGGTCACTCTCGGCGTACGTCGTCGTTTTCTGTTAATAGCAAAAACAAAACAGCTGGTAATGAGCGCCGAAAGGCTGTTTCCACGCCTGGCAGCGTCTAACCCTAACGTCTCCGTTCCTTTATTCAGGGAACGAGGGTTACCGTACGTAACCGAGACGTTTCTCGCCCCATAACAAGAACTGTTCAGTCATAATCTTTATTTTGAAGTGACTAGAGTCTCTAGAGGTCATACATTACAGGGATTTTTACCACGAGTAAAGGCTGACGGGTCGATCATGAGCGATTCGTTCAGTTTGAACAAATCTTTTATCTGACTTGGGAATAACAAGTTGTCTCGTGGTTTGTTGGCCGCATGTGCGTTTTTTAAATTTGTAATTGACGTTAAAGCCGAATAAGCCGGAAAAATTAAGCAATCATGATTTATTTATTTATTAATTTATTAATTTATTTATTTAACATGCAATAAGAGTACAATTTCAGCAACGAGAACGATGCTGAGCCAAACGAAGATAAAGATGTGTTCTGGCGACAGGACCAATTTATTGAACCAATCGGATGGGAGTCAGCGAGAAGCTCGTCTGATTGGCTACATGATGAAGGTGGACCCGCCCTCATCTTCGCTCTTGCAAAACTCGGGTTATTCGGGTAAAAGAAAGACGCAACTGTACAAATCGGGTTATTTCGGGAACTTTTTTGCCGCATGCACACAAGTAGTCATTTAGACATTTGCAACAGTTTATTTTTTACACACAAAGGTTTGTTTTACGTGAGTAATCTGTTTTGCAGTTCCTGCCTCTGTGGTTTTTGCTTGGAAATAGCTGTTCACAGGCCTGGAGACAGTGCTTTTAGCCGTATTTTGGCGGGGGGAAAAAACGTGCCAAAAGTGTAAGCGTGGACAAATGGAAGTCAGAAGAATACAGATCATATTCATGTTGCGTCAGCTTCACAATACATGATTTACTCTTATGAATAAATGAGTAAAATTCTGCAAATATTATTTTCTTACACTTGAAAGGCGATTTACACCTTTACAAAGCTTCTCTTGCACACACAAATTTAATTTACGCTTGCAATCTTATGTACACTTTTCACAAATCTTGAAAGTGCGATTCTTTATGGCATCATATTACCTTCATACAGCCTCAGCAAACGGTCCTGAGCGCGTAATCACGACAGTCTGGAGCACAAGCTTCCTGTCACATGATTAGCAATGAGGAAATTAACAGCAAGGTTTCATTTTTGGGTGAACTATCCCTTTAAAGACCCAATCCGATGAAAATAATGTTTTAATAATAAGGTGTTAACATGTTCTTGTGGCATTTTTCTGATGTTAGAGGATATATCTTGAGAAAAATAAGCTCAAAGTTGTATTTCTGAGTATTTCTACATTCAAATGTCTGTGAATCAGTATAGCAGACGCTAAAATGCCGGCTAAAATCGACTGGAGTTGTGACGTAGTAACTCCACTGGGCGTCTCCACACGCGACGTCTTGGAGTGAAATAATGATCGGTGATAACTTTGATTAACTTCGGATAATAATAATTAACGTGTATATAATACTGTTGCCCCACCGGTATTGGGGGTGTAAGCTAGCGGGAGAGACAGAGCTCTCGGGGAGGGAGGGGGAGGGTCGTCTCCGTGCCAACGGCTCCGCCCACAACGCAGAGGCGAATTGCTAATGAGCTACTGCCGCTCTGCTGAAGCGAAGTCCCAGAAAACGGCACAGGTTTTGTGATTTTGGCTAAAAATGGCATAATCATAATTTAAAGACCACTAGGAATGTTTAAAAATAGCTCAAAATATGATCGGAGTGGGACTTTAAGACCGTTTTAGTTATTGAAGCCAACATTTATACTGAATAAAACAAGCATTTATGACCCAGATTTAACGATTATATTGAACAAATGTCTTCCTTGGTCTCTGGTCCAAACTGCGTTCACCCTGACTGGAGATCAGCGATTGCTCTTGCTCTGCCACCGCTGTCCGGATGCATTATGCAGCCGATCACTTCTCCCGCTGGTAGTTCGCTTCTTCTGAGCTCAACTTTGTCCCATCGCCAACGGCTGTCGCAAATGTAGCCGGGAATCACCAGCTCATAGAAAATGAATGATGTCAGTTTGCTGGCAAAAGTTTGACTTACAACATCCCCTTTACATTGAGTAAATAATGTATGGTTTTCCTCCTCAGGATGTGGTTCGCATGATGATCACTCAAGCTCAGAATCATCTGGAGGACTTGAGGAAATCCCTCGGGCTGGCTGGATGCTAGAAGATCCGCTGTAAACTGCACGGAAATAAAGGGATAGTTCACCAAAAACGGAAAATTCTGTCAGTGTCACCCATAAGACTTTTGTTCGTCATCGGAACACAAATGAAGATGGTTTTAATAATCTCTCTTCCTTTTTGTCCTTCCATTGAAAGTCCACACAACCAAAACTTTCACACTTTTAAAAGTGACGTAATCGAGACGCTCAATCCAAGTCTTCTGAAGAGACGTGAACGCTTTACATGATGAACCGATTTAATTCAGGCTGTTACCATCAATGAACATACATAAAGCACATCAAATATGGTCAACAGAATAACCGTACTTGCATGATACATGAGAAAAGACATTAAATCTATTCATTATTTAAAGCAATTGTGTCCATTAACGTTTGAAGTGTCGCTGTTATTGACGAGTGGAAATCTTAATTTGCGTTTCAAAAATGGCGTCTTATGGATTTGGAACGATATGAATGTGAGTAAATGACTGAATTTTCTTTTTTGGGTGAACTATCCCTTTAACAAAAAGTACACTCTAATTAGAAGAAAACTGTATATATCTACTTGTATATTTATAATGCACGAGTACTACTTTTCATTTGCCAAATATGAATAAAAACCCAAATAAAATATTCACTTTTCTGAGTCATAATCAATTAGTGTGTAGTTGAAATATTGCATAATTGCAGAACAAATACACCTGTGTCTGTGACATCTGCATTGTCATCCCAGAAAAACTACATTGTGAGCATCAATAAACATTCCTCGCAGATACCTGTCAGGACACGACCCCCTCAAAGCTGCGTTTAAACCCATCACGACGAGCTGAGCGCACCAAAAATGTGGCACAACCGTAAATCTCTGCTAATCGTCCGTGTCCCTTAGATAACCCGGAGCGGTTAACAAGAGGAAACCCTTCGATACTCAAAGGCAAGTCATATTATATTAACAGTATGTATGAAGCAATACAATGTTAATGTTGTGATGTGGGAAGTGCATGTACTGTATAATTTAGACATTGGTCTTTATGGCCCATCAATCTGATTCCAGATGTTTTTTGTCTACAAATTTACATGGATGTAGTTTATTAAACATTCATTTTTGATTTACAGATCATACAGCTGTATGACATAGTAAATAATGTCTTTCCCTTTGAAGCAGCTGTAAACAATTATAGTTATAACATATAACAAAAAGTGTGTACATTACATATTAGTTTTTAGCATTTGTCAAGACATTGATTACATGGTTCAAAATCAACAGCAATAGCCACTGGCAGTTTTTGATCCTTTTTTAACAGTACTAACAACATTACGATCTACAGGTTAGGTTCAGTCTTCATGGAGGAGAAGTGTCTTGATCAATGGTGGTGATGGAATCAGTCAACGTTTGGGAATCTTTAAAGTCCACATGAAATGGCACTCGCTGGGCTCAACTGATTGATTGGTGAAAAGTGTCATGGTTTTAAATTTTTTAGCTGTCGTCAACACAAAACATTTTACCATAGAAAGGGGGACAGACTTTTTCCCCTACCCATGTGTTCTGATTTCGAATGATTAAAAAAAATCTTAAATTATATTATTTATCTACCAATATTGGCAAATGAAATATGAAAAATCCACACATGTAAATCTGTTTACAACACTTATTTCATCATGTGACATCACTACAGACTACATCGAAATTAAACATCACAGGTTAAGAAGACCTTTCATTTTGTGCAAGAAAGTCGATGTACAAAGACATTACACAAACTAATACTTGTTTTTAATCACGGTGTTTGCTGTGAAAGATTTTGTTACTCTTTTATTTCGTCACTGTTCCATTGTTCACTGATTTTATATGATCTGGCAAACCTCCATTAAAATAGCGGCGTAATTTAATTTAGTAATTTTCTTTTCACCAAATCTGAGTAGTATTAGTTATTTTGCTCATGCTGTTTTCTTAATCCTTTTATGTTATATAATCAAGAAAACATTATACAGTATATTTAAAGTTTTTGTCCTTTGAATTGCCATTCACAATGAAACAGAAATGTCTATGTAGCTTAGAAACCAGAAGCGCTTTATGAAAGAGGTAAAAACCTGGAACAGACCATTGGTGGTGATGGTTTGTCATGATATTATGACTGTAAAGCCAGACACATAATCCATGCAAGTACACAAATGCAGACGCAAAGTCTTGAACAGGGCTTTGAAAGCATGGCAACTTTGTTCTTGCTTTTCATTCAACAAACCCGAGCAGACAGTTTTATGCTAAGGCCTACTATACTTTATCAGTGGCGTTGGTTCTGGAAGTATTTTTTCCATTATTTAAAAAAAAAAGAAGTCTTTGTTAAAGAATTATAAGCCATGAATCAAGCCAATTAGCTACAAGGTGAATCACAAGTACAAACTTTGATTTGAAGCAAAAAATTATTATAAAATTGGACAAAAAGACTGTATAGCTTTAATGAGTGAAGGAACTACAATCCCATGAAGCATTGCGAATGTCAAATCGAATTAAAAACGATGGAGACATAAAAACTAATTTAAAGTTGTTGATGAATATCTATAGATAAAAAGTTTATTGCAAAATATGCATATATATATATATATATATATATATATATATATATATATTAGGGCTGTCAAATGATTAATCACGATTAATCACATCCAAAATAAAAGTTTTTTTTACATAATATATGTGGGTGCACTGTGTATAATTATTTTGTATATATATATAAATACACACACATGCATGTATATTTAAGAAAAAAATATTATTTATATATAAAATATTTATATATAATATAAATTATATATAAATCTATATACAGTATATACATGAAAATATTTCTTAAATATATACAAGCATGTGTGTGTATTTATATATATAAAATAATTATACACAGTGCACCCACATATATTATGTAAAAAAAACTTTTATTTTGGATGTGATTAATCACGATTAATCATTTGACAGCCCTAATATATATATATATATATATATATACACACACATAAATATTAAAAGTCAACATGAAACCGATGATAGTATTTATTCCCTATTGTGACGGATATCCGAGTGAAACAGCTTCCGGAATGAGAAAAATGTAGGGCGGGACTTTCGCCCTTTGGGAATTGCCTGGATTGTAGGAAATTGGGCATTGCTGACTAAACACGGAGGCAGATCTGAGAGCCGGTTTGCAGTCAGTTGTGAAGGATATTTACGAGACACAGACGCCGTCTCGAGGAGGTTAATGTTTTTGATTAAAGATGACGAGGGCATTTGTATTTAAAAAATAATGATGTGGGATAAATTATTTATAATAAACAGCAACATTCTGTAAAAAATCTATATATCAATTTTGATTTCATGGCAACTTAAGTATATTGACAGCATCACGAGACCGACTGGATTACAGTCATTTGCAGTGCATCATGGTAGTGGGCGTTCCCTACAAACTCTTATTGGTGGAATTTTTAGGACAGCATAATGAGAAATGTCATTTTTCACCATGAATGGTGAATTGTTTTTTTTAAATAAGTTATAATATGCTTTTATTGAAGCCATCTGTTCACATTATAACATCAATTAACAACCTTGTATCTCACAGTAGGTCCTTCTTTAAAGGTTAATAAGATATTGTTAAAAATTCTCCTAGGGAGAAAAATGAATTGGATTTTTACTTCCAGAATCCGACTGTTGCGCTCTATGGCACTCCTTGTGGCAGCACTGAGAATGCATTGCTACTTGCCCTCCTTTATGAATTGTGTTCTGGCAAATTTCAGAACACGTTTGCATTCAAGCACTTACGTAGAGTATGTTTCGGCTCAAACTCTGTTCAGATGCTTTGTTACTTCAGTGTTATCTACATGTGTTAGCTGCTCTATCGAACTTCACTAATCCATCGGGAACCTCGTGAGTTACAGTGTCTTCTACACCAGTGGCTTCTTCTACACTAGCTCTCCTCCTGTTTGCTAGTTCTCAACAGTCTGAGTTCATCCTCAAGGTAGCTTATTCTGTCCAGCAGGGCGGCTCTGTCGGCTTCAGCCCTCTGGTTGGCTCGCCATCTTGCTTCCTCGATCTTCCGCTCATACCAGCGCTCCATCTGCAGGGTCACCGCCTCAAAGAAGTACTGCGTGACCTCCAGCGCGTGCATGTTCTCCCGCTCCTGGGCGAAGGAGGCCTCGGCGGCGGGCCGCTCTCCTGAACTCGCCAAGGCTTGTGCGTTTGGTTTGGTCTTTGCTTTCTGTTGGGTGCGTCTTTTGAGGTTCCTGTGCTCGAGCGCACATTTCTGCTCACAGCCCTGATCCGGGACGCGTCTCGGCTCCAGACTCGAGTCCCGAGGCTCATCTTGCACTCGATGAGGGTCACTACAGGCCCGGGATCGCTGTTTAGGCCGGACTATACAAGGAGACTGGGGCGCAGATTGATTTTGTGATGACTGCTTATCTGAAAAGACAGAGAAAAGCTTAAGAAGATTTCGTCCTGTAATATGTAACATGCACATTGACACTAGCACCAGCTGCAACCCAGACAGCAACATAGGCTACGTTCAGACTGTCAGTTCAAATACGATTTGAAAAATTGAAATTCGATCAGAATTACCTAATGAATTAGCTAATGTGATTTCAATCAGATTTTTCTGCATATCCGATTGAAATCCAATCAGAATTAGCTAATGTGAACAGCAAAAAATTACATGAAATGCGATTTTTACAAATCTGTTTCAAGCTGCATTCATATATGGTTTGAAATCCTATTCAAATCGCATTTCTGGAAATCCGTTTCAGTCTGACCGATCTGATAAGAGTTTCGCGTAGTTTATGTGACTTTCTAAGGCCACATAAAATGTAAAAGTCAGACGTTGTGTAGAAAACATGCTGAAAGTCGCGGCATAAACAATGTTTTGTTGTGTCAATGCAAGTGCCGGAAGAGCAGAAAATGCCAATACAACAGAGACATGTTTTGACCGGCGGAGACGACAACACAGAATACAGCCGCTCACACCAGCCTCCTCTGGTTCTGCTGATTCAGTAGACCAGAGATGCAGATACATATTAAAGTTGTCTTATTTAAATATTACAACATGATAATAAGTACTGCAAACCCCTCCATGTTGTTGTTTTTGACGTATTCCTACCAACGCAACGTCATTGCCAAAGAAACCAATGGAGATATTCAGATAAAACGAAAGAGGTGCATGGACACTCAAATCAGATCGGAACAGTTGGAGATACACAGTGTGGACGTCAATCATTTTAGATCAGATTCCAATCTGATTAATAAATAATCGGATTTGGACTGGCAGTGTGAACGTAGCCATAGTGTCGGCCCAGAGATGGAGAGAGAGACTGCAGAATCAAAGAAAAAGAGCAAATAAATGAATGCCGGAGAGAATAAATGAGTTTCAGGTTGTCTGACCTCACTCTGGGGATTCAGGCCTGAGTTTCCTATGAATTTACACAACACTGGGCATAAAAATCCTTTCCTCATTACGGCTCTTCTTTTAACTTTCAGTCTGTTGTCATGGAAAAAAACTTGTATTTCCCCTATTTATGTCTAATTTTCAAACAGAGTGTGATGATGCAAAGCTTCTTTATAATGAGAAATATAAAAGCCATCCTCAAGTGCTTTCAGAGATGCTCCAGAGCACATAATACTCAACATCATCTCAAAACACCCACTTTATAGCAAACACAAAACAAAGAATTTAGGGTCCAACTACTTAACTTAGGTAAGGGTGGATGGTGGATCTGGGCTGACACTATGTTGCTGTCTGGGAATTGTGGTGAAGTAAATGTACATCCGGCGAGTTATCATCACAAAATAACCACAACAGGGCGATTAGGGCCCCAGTGTGAAGTAGTGATGTTCAATTCTTTAACGTTAGTTCTGGGTTAATGACGCAAGACGGATGTAGCACCGAATGGGTTATTGGATCAAAATAGTGGTTCACTCAAAATGAAAGAATCAAACCTACAGGCAGCCTTTCGGTTATGTCCGACTCAAAAAGAACCGAACGACAACCCTCGGAAAACTCTGACATTTAGAACTGGCTCGTTGGTTTCTTTTCGAGTCGGTTGTTTTTGATTCGTTTGAAACGGATGGACTTGTATCACCATAAAGGGGTTTATTTTGCGAGAACAATCGGTTAGAAGCACATTAGCCTCCTTTTTACACGGCTACTTACAAAATTAGTAAATAATTGAACAAAATATTGACAAGTTAAAATTTGATCAGCTCATTTAAACGCAAAGCTTCCTCAAGGAAAAAGAGCCTAGATAAACTAACAAGTAAATAGGGCATTATTTGAGGGGACAGCCATTTGTAGAGGTGTCTGAAACCATAGTGGACGTTATCGAGTGCAATCATTCAATCCCATAATGCACTGCAATAACGAGTGAACAACCGATGTACGCTCAACAGTAAATGAATTCCCGCATCTGACCAGAAGATGGCGCCGCAGCCGAATCATCCATCCATTTTCCAAACCGAAGGGTGCAATGTGGCTACAGCGTAATATCATACATTCCTTTTTTTCTTGATTATTGATTAAGGTTTATAAATAGTTTCCATGACAGAGTTCAAGATAAATATTTTCATTAGTACTGGAGCTGCCAGTTTACTTAATTTCAAATGATTATAATTATTAAACATCAAGCACAAACTATGCAAAAACGGCAACCCTTCCGACGCACTCAGTGTCCAAATCCACTCACTCGTTTTCATCACTCCTTCAAGTGGACTATATTAGTGGAGTAATGTAGGGAATACTGAATGAGGGTATATATATATAATATGTATAATGAGCACTGTGTTTGAATGAAACGAGAGCGAGCACATCCGTCCAGTGTGATACGAGAGACATGAAAGAAGCGTCTGCAAGAACTCATTTGCAACAGATTTTGACGTATAATAAAAAAAATTACAATGATTCATTAAATAAATAATATTGTCTTCTATATCCTTCCATATGTGTTCAGTGTAAATAATAATGTCAGTGTTGTATATTTTACTTATAATAACCCTACATCACATATTTATATTATATAACACTTATATAAGCCTTTAACTGAATGAGGACAAACACAGGAAAACCATTAATGCTTCATGTAGCTCTCTCTCTACGTGAGATGAGCCAGAAAATCTGTGTTGCTCATCTGCCTCTGTAAAAGCGAAAGAAAACAGTTGAATGTGTGTGTGTGTGTGAGTGTGATTGTTCATTCATCCATGCAGTCCCGAGTAAGTGTCCTACCCGGAGAGACGTCCACCTCGATCACATAGTAACTGGCAGGTCCGTCCTCAGGACTCGTGTTCGCTGCTGCCGTCTCTCCTCCATCTCTCGGCTGGGGCTGGTTTGCTGACGGAGGGTCACATGCTCTGCCCCCAGATGTGTCCGGTACAGCTGTGTGGGAATGGGGATCCCAATCCGAAAGCGTGTCGGTGAGGGACGAGGAGCGCCGTAAGCGATCGCCAGAGAGACGCGTCTCCAAACTCTGGATCTTAGAAAGGCACCAGTTCTTGATATCGTTGACCACTGAAGCCTGCTTACAAAGAGAGAGATGGAATAAATAATCCAAAGATTAGCCCGAGATAATTCATATTAGGAATGACAAGAAAACACATCACGATGAAAACTAGAATCCATGTAAGAGTTGGTATTTATAAGGCCGTGTCATTTATAACTAATCTGCACATAGCTGAGATATACATCAAATATCATTACAGGCAGAAAAAACTTCAGATTATAAACTGTATCGCTAAACCCTAAGCCAGATATTGTTCCTTTTACCTCTAGACAAAGACAAAATGCGTTCTATCAAAGTCTCTTTCAAGGAAAGTGTGTTCACTCAACACCGCTAATTCAGGCATTCAAGACCAGGTCCTGTCTACGGGAATCCTGAAATCTCAAAAACCGCTCGCCAAACTCATAATTAAATAACGTTTTTAATCAGCAACAAAATCTGACATGAATTCACCTTTGGCTAAGCCCCGCCCCCCTTAGTTACTGTCGCTATGTCCGTCAAGCTACGCCGCTCTCACGCACACACCATGTTCTCAAGCAGTGAAAAATACATCGCGGAGCAGAGAGGAGACTGACAACAGGCTGACAGACCAGGTTACTTTTGATATTAAACATATTAAACAAAGTCTCACCTTTCAAATTTGGTCATTTTTTTTAAAAGAAATTTTAATAATAATGTTGGACTGTGGCAACACGGTGGCGGTAACGTTAGTCACCTTCAAAACTACCACAGCGTGTCTGTAACATTAACGTTAGGTGTTTGTATCTTGAATAACAAAGTTAGCTAACATCCAGCCGCTACTCAAAACAAACAATCCTGACTTACGTTAACGTTTCGTGATAACTACACTGTAAAAAATAAAATCGTAAAAAAACGGTCAATGACTGGCAGCTACGGCTGCCAAACAAAAACCGTAAAAATAAAGTAAAATATCCTAATTTAAATTGAGTGCAAAAAACTTTTCCAAACTTTGTCCTTAAATGTTTTACAGAAAAACACTGTTATTTTACAGTTATTTCCTGAATTATTATGATCAAATACCTTCACAGTGAAAAAAAGGTCAAATGACTGTCAGCAATGGCTGCCATACAAAAACCATAAAATGAATGTAAAATATCCTAATTTAAATAATAAATACTATTGCAGAAATCTTCATTAAGCTTTTTAACAGAAACACTGTTCTTTCACATATATATATATATTTACTGAACTTTTACTAAAAAACATTCACTGTAAAAAGTAAATATCTTGCTATAAACTACACGCATGATTTACTGATTATATGTCATCAGCAACTACACAGTTACTGTCTGTTAAATAAAGCAACACACAACATTTCATCAGTGTTTCTCTGCTCATCCTGGACTGAAGCTCAGGCTCTACTCTTCAACACAATGGTGACAGACACAAAACACACCATACAGAAACACTTTACATCCCAGCAGAACATTAAACACTAACAGATCTCTCAAGATCTCAGCATCTTCACTTATTACAATCCAGACTTCTTTCATACTAACATTCCTATTGAGAAATAACAGAGGTTTAGAAGTAGATATTTTATTGAAAATAATAAAGTTTGATGTCACCATGATAGAGGTCAGTGTTTGCTTTAGTTGGGCTCTTGACCCTTCATATATTAACATTAGTTTTTCTCTTAACTGTGCATGTCTTTGATGCATATTTCTTATTGTAGGAAATCGAGAGAAACTCAGATCAGATGATGTTGGTCACTTAATAGTGATAATATTCATCAAGCAGTTGTCTGCTGTATTGATACCACCTGATTGGTATGACTTTTTAATGACTGAATAAGTTGTAAAATGTTAATTTAGAATGCCAGTATTGCTATAGAAGATCCTACAATGCTTTGATATAAGATTTTATGAAGTCATTATGCAAAAAAAATTTTGACAGGGTCATAGAGACTCACTCAGGCATCAAGAATTAGCGTATGAATCTCAACAATGGTGACAATAAAAAAAAATTCTGACCTATTATAAAGTCACAAAAAGGCTTTGTTGATAGTCACCATTGTTGAGTTTCATATGTTGATTCTTGATGTCTCCATACTCCTAACAAAATAAGCCAACTCAAAAAAAATTTATGTAGAATATATTATTTTTTTTAATTTGAGATTGCATTAATACTGATCCCACAATATTTCAACAAATCATGTGAAAAAAAGTATAACTTTGTATAACACTAAAGTCCATCTATATATAATGTATTCACAGCCAATAGAGATTTGACTGTCATATCAATGAATCAGATCATCATATGATGACTATAAAATCATCAATAAATGACCAAGATCATCTTATATTTTCTCTTGCAATTATTGCCATAATAAATGTGCATCAAAACACAGTTAAAGCAACCAGAGAAAAAGTAATGTTGAAACTCAAGATTCATGAGCCCAACTAAAGCAAACACTGATCTCAATCATGGTGACATCACATTTCTATTAAAGTTTTTTACACTTTATTTAAATTAGGATATTTTACTTTAATTATATGGTTTTTGTTTGGCAGCCGTAGCTGCCAGTCATTTGACCCTTTTTTTACGATTTTTTTACAATGAAGGTATATGATCATAATAATGCAGGAAATACCTGTGAAATAACAGTGTTTTTTTGTTTTATTTGAATTATAAGATTTTACTTTAATTTTATGGTTTTTGTTTGGCAGCCGTAGCTGCCAGTCATTTGACCCTTTTTTTACGATTTTTTTACAATAAAGGGATATGATCATAATAATGCAGGAAATACCTGTGAAATAACAGTGTTTTTTTGTTTTATTTGAATTAGAAGATTTTACTTTAATTTTATGGTTTTTGTTTGGCAGCCGTAGCTGCCAGTCATTTGACCCTTTTTTTCCAAATTTTTTTTCCACTGAAGGTATATGATTGTTATTTTACAGCAGTGTTTCTCAACCTCTCCTGCAGGGACCCCCTGACAGGCCATGTTTCTGTTTTAACCCTGAAATGGCACACCTGATTCAAGTCATTAAAGGCTTAATGAGTAGTTGACTAATTGATTAATTGAACTATTCCTACTCTAATTACTCATTAAGCCTTTAATTACTTGAATCAGGTGTGCCATTTCAGAGTTAAAACAAAAACATGGCCTGTCAGGGGGTCCCTGCAGGAGAGGTTGAGAACCACTGTTTTACAGGTATATCCTGAATTATCACAGTGTTTTTCAGTTTATTTAATTTAGGATTTTTTACTTTAATGTTACAGATTTTTGGGGGCTGCCAGTCATTTGACCGTTTTATCATTTAACTGTTTTGTTACTGTTTAATTACAGATTATATTTGTAATTTTACATACATTTTTATGTAATTTAAGAAAACAGAAAAAATACTGTATGAAAAATACAATCAATTTCCTGTATAAAAAATGTGAATTACTGCAATTTATCATTAATGTCACAATACCTAAAATAACAGCTGAATTTTTATTTGACAGATATTATTTGTAATTTTACAGTGTTTTGAGTACAATTTAAAATGAAAGAAAATGATCGTCAAAAAATCACAGTTATTTTCTGTAAAATTAGGATTTTTTTTTACAGTGTAAACTATCGCTAAGCTTGCTTGCTAGCACCTTTCTTCATTAATTAGGGTAACGTTAGAGAACCGAAATCATAACCTAACAGCATAACACTGTCTAAATAGTATAACTTCACATTAAGGTTAAAAGCAACATTTACTTAGAGCACACAAGTGAGCTTGTTGAGGGGTTTAACGTAGCTGACTGTGAAGACGTCCACACAGTTTAATCCAAAGATGACACATGTCAGGATTTGACTTTGGTTTTGGGAAGGGAAAAAACGCACACCCCCCTCCAACCTCTCTGGGAAACGCGCATCTGTGTTACAAATGCCCCAGGCACAACGTTTAACCATATTTTTGATAAAACTACGACGGTAATAGCCGGCCGAGACCAAAAATATGAGACGCCTGTGTTAAAGTCAATGGAGCGCTGTGAAAAAGTGTCGGACCTCTGTGGGAGCTCGTTCTTGGCTGCGCTGTGATTGGTCAATCTACAATCTAGGGTGTGGCTTAGCCAAAGGCGAATTGTCCCATGAATGTCGTTTCTCAATTACTGCTTGATGCCGTCATGAAACACACGTCTCAGGCTGTTAATGGCCGCTGCAGTGACACGATGGCTGCATCCGAAGCCGCGTCCTCCTCTACTATAGTAGGCGGAAAACAGTATATGACAGAAGAAGTATGCCTGAGTTTACAGAAGCTAGATGATCTCCTACGGTGAGGTTTACTCACTTTACTATCCCATGAGGCCACGGGAGAGGATTTATGGTGAAGCGACGCACCTGACGCTGATAGGTTACATGATAATGACAACATATAACATTATTATAATGACAGCGAATGAACTACCTCCAGATTACATTCATACTATATAGAACATACTTTGAGTTGCACTTTCCCCCATTCATGGTGATGTCAATATGAGCGCACCGTCTTGGTTTATCGAAGTCTTTGTCTCTGTTTTCAAAGCATATAAAACGTTTATGCAAATCTGATGGTCTGCATATACATATTGTGTTGAAATGTACCTGTCTTTTTTCTCCTTCCAAGCGTTCCTCTACGGCTCTCTTGTCAATGCGATGTAAACATTCAGTCCTCTCAGCGGACACTCTCTCTAAAGTGATCTTATCTAGAGCTCGGATCTGAAAATCAACACACACTTATCAATCCCACATAAACATGTACATAACAAACACCAGATAAATATAGGTGGAAGCAGATTAGGTGATCAACAATTGGTTATCTTTTGAGATATAGATATATTTAGGCCACAGCCCAAAAGTGAATTGGCTTGAATCTGGGAAATGTTTAGTCAAACCAACACTTTGTATGCACCTGGTGTTTGTTCCTGCGGTCCAGTTGGCCCATCTTGCTGTTCATGAGCTCTTGTACAGTGTGAATCTCGGACTGCATCTCCTCTTTAGTGGCCATGAGCTGGTTCTCCAGTTTATTAATGAGAGGCTCACACCTGCAGCCATTCACTGGGGCCTTTAATGGAAAGATCACATATTCAACAGTCAAAAATACATTCAAATGTTTCTCTGTCCATAAGATATTTGCCATTTTCCACTGTTTGGAGTAAATGTTGGATAAGCCTCGGGGGCTTGCAGACAGAAACGGGTTCTTCCTAGCAGTTAAATTAGTTTTGAATTAGTTTACAAATAAAATTAAATGGATTATTTCTGAAAATTTTGTGGTAATGACACCTAATAATGCTATTCTCAGACCATGATGTAAAATCTTAAAATTTAACTCAATTTTCTTTGCACTGTTAAACATTTCAGTGTGAAATTACAGTATATTCCAGGTTAATAATTGCAATTACAATTACAGTACTAATGTCTTACAGTGGCATGATTAAAGACAGTAAAATCACAGTAAAATACTGAAGTCAAGATCATCCTGTTGTTGATTCACAGTCATTTGTAATAAAATGACCCAGCATGCATCAATTTCACTGTAAATTTCTGACTACAGTAATTTATTGTACAATAATGGCGCTTTTCCACTACACAGTACCAGCTCGCCTCGGCTCGACTCGACTCGACTCGCCTTTGTTTGGTTTTCCACTGTGTAAAAGTTGTACCTGTACCTGCTTTCGGGTACTTTTTTTCGTACCACCTCCGGCGAGGTTCTAAGCGAGCTGAGGCGAGCTAAGCCGATACTAAAATGTGACGTGAAAACAGTGCCGACTGCTGATTGGTCACAGAGAATCTGCGTCATCATTGCACGCGCCAGATGGAGTATCCAGAATAACCCCGCCATTTTTAAATAGTTTGGCCAGAGATAGTTACTAAACTTACTACTATTATTATGGCAACTCGGAAGAATACGCGGTGGTCAAACGAGGAGGTGCAGACATTACTTTGTTTGGTTGCCGAAGAGAGGATCCAACGAGAGCTTGATGGGGCAACGAGGAACGAAAGGCGTCGCTATGAAGACCGGGTACTATTTGTGGCGGTACTTTCTGCAATGGAAAACGGAGCGAAAAGCGAGCCGAGTCGAGGCGAGCCAAGGCGAGTCGAGTCGAGTCGAGCTGGTACTGGTAATGGAAAAGCGCCATAATACTCTTTAATTTTTAAATCACACTTTTTTTTTCAGCGTGGCACTGGCCCAGGCAGAGATGTGCGTCATGTGTAACCCAAGCATACACACATACTCTAAAGGTTCTTGTACAGTCTAACTAATACACGTTTTCAGTGCTAACTGAGAAATGAACGAGTTTAATCTGATGGGGAACAGTTTTGGTCCTTGCCTGCATGATCTTGCCATCTTTGCCTCTGTAGAGAGTATAGAGCTGGTACGCCTTGTAGTTATGAGGAGGAGGAGGAGGAGGAAGAGCAGCTGAGGGACTTGATCTCTCGGTTTTACTCTTCTTCTTATGATCGCTGTGTTTATTTTGTCTTCGGATGAGGGCATCTGATGGGGACAGCTGCAAACACACACAGTACACAATCCATGAGATATGAGAATGTAGGGAGCAGTTTAACATGAGAAAACAAACTCAATGGAAGCAGCACTTGTTAGGGGAGTCCATCAATAGTCTTTTTTATGCAAATTCCTATCGTTACATGCATGCAATACATACCCAGACTCTCCCCTTCACGTATAATATATTCACATATAATATCCAGCTGATTATACATTACTCCTTAAAGGAGAAAATGCATACCCTGTCTTTGACCTTCTTGTCGCTGGTTTTGTTGGCACGGGCCTCTGTGAGGAACCCGGTGTCGTTGTGCCGGAGAGAACTGTCGCTGCCGTGAGTGTCATTGGCTGGAGAGACACTGTCCTGCACAAACACACGAGTAAAGGCACAGCTTTTACAATGACCAGCAAAGTTCACAGACAACAGAAGTGTGTTGAACACAACTGAGAGTACTACACATTTATTATAGCGACAGATCTTTTCTTCCATATTGTGACGAAAAAGAAAAAAATGTGTGGCTGGGACTTGATTTTATGCACTGGCTGTTGATTGGATGTTGAGATGTGGGCGTGGCACTCAAAAGTGGAGGCGGAGCTGAACGTGAGCATGCAGGGGCGGGTGTGAGCGCACTGTTTACCTCTGGTATTAAGATGCGTTTGGACGATCGGATCACAAGTGGACGACGCTTAAATACAGGTGTAAACGGGGTCTGAAACGTTTTGAGCTCGTCCACTTCCAGAGGGAGTGGAAAACACATTCGACCGGATCACTTGCGTAGTGTAAACGCTCATGTGGTCGAACAGCCACAAAAGACCGTCTACTCTCCGTCTACTGATCTAATGCGGGGACATTATGGGGAGAGCGCTAGCCAGACGGGATTTAAACTCTGTCAGCTGAAGACTCAAGTTTGGTTTGAAGATAGTTCTCTCATCGTTCCTGATTTCTAACACACACTCACAGCGTTCGGCTGGTGTTGTGCCTGTCAGAGCAGAAACTAAAGCTGCTGTTCTCCGTGTGTTTTCCCGTCGTCTCCGGGTGCGTTCATATGTGAATTGTGTAAAGTTATTTTGTCCATTAGATTGAAAGATCTGCAAAAACCCATACATTTACCCGCCCACAGACCCTCTCCTTGAAGAAATCAGGACAGAAGTGTTTGAAAGTGGACAAAAGAGACGGATTAAACACCAGGGGCCTCATGTATCAACACTGCGTACGCACAAAAACACGGCGTACGTCAGCTTTCACGTTCACGGCCAGATGTACTAACAGTGAAATTAACTTAAGAATGTGCGTTCCTCCAAGTAAACTTCATGTCTGGCGTACGTATATTTGTCGTGATTTTTGTCCGTCGGCGACTCATAGAGGCAATAAAGTGAAGTGGCAAACATTACACTACGAATTGTTCTATCGCACCACCAGCTGTCAGATATTGCTTATAATTTGTAATTGATAAATTATTTGACATATTATTGTCACACGAGTCTTATTAAAATATTCTATTATGCAATTAAGTAAGAACATATATAAAGCATGTGAAAATTGATACAACCTGTCTAGCAATGGCAGTGCAGTGTTGGCTTAACTAGGAATAAAAAATAAACTTCATTAATTCGGTCAGTAAAGATAAAAAAGGAAGTAATATTTTATTCAGCAAGGACACATTGAATTTGTTTAAAAGTGAGAGTAAATGCATTTATAATGTTACAAAAGATTATAAGATTTCTATATCTGTTTGATTTAAGTTTTTATTGATTAAAGAATCCTGAAAATACTATATCACGGTTTCCACGAAAATATGAAGCAGAAGCACACCTTCACTGATAATACTCAAAAATGTTTCTTGATCATCAAATCATCATATTAGAATGATTTCTGAAGGATCATGTGACACTGAAGACTGGAGAAAATTCAGCTTTGATCACAGGAATAAATTACACTTTCACACAGAATACATTTTCAGTGAAATTTCGTTTCTTGCTTGCTTTAGCCATGTTCTTGCAGGTTTCTTTAGCCAAATTGGACTAATTACCATATTTAAATTAATTAAATTGGGGGTGGAAACTGGGTGGGGTGTTGCGCTCGTGCATGTGCGCTCAATTTTACGTTAATTGGGATGTACAAAGAGAATATGCGTACGCAGAGATTCATACATCTGTTTTTTTGTGTGCGTACGCACATTTACAGCCTTGTCCGTACGCAATGTTTTAGTATGAATTCAACGCAAGTCTTTGTACATGAGGCCCCTGGTGTGAACGGGAATGTCTCCCTCGTCTATTTGTGATACGATCTACCAAAACACATCCTAATACCAGGTGTAAACAGGGTCTAAATGAAGTCCTGCGCAAATCACCGGAGCGAAGCATGTCATTCTCTCTGGAAGGTCCGACTTTAATAATGGGAATTTAGGAATGCCTTTCCCTTCCAGAACTGAGGAACCACACATCTGGCGTCTGTATTTTTCACAACTGTCTGAAACAATTGTTTGTACTCTGGTTCGAGTTTTCTTTGTCCAGATGTGTAAAAGCTGTATTTGTCAAGTCTAAAGTAAGGCAGAGATTAACTGTTGACTCTACTTGGCTGAAACACCATGCAAGGGTGATTTATTTCCAGCAACTGCACATCTATGATATAGCAGCAGATTTGTTGACTGTCCTACAGGTTTATATCATGTATATATTTAAGTAATGTTGACTTGGGCTGTTACTCTATTATTGCTGTAGTAGTTCTACACACTAAACTTGAAAACCTGAAAATGTCCTGAGATACACATGGAACAACCGTAATTTTTGAATGATTGAAATGTTATGCACATTGTCTTATAACCGTGGAAGTAAATGTTGAATCGTTAAAGGTTCTGTCATTCATCATTGCTTGCATAACATTCAGCGACAGCATGTTTGGACTTGACTTGTCTCGAGTAGAGTTGCTCTTTCTGTTTCGCTGGTGTCTGAGAGTAGTTTTGCTCCTCTACCTTTCTCGGCAGCATCTCCTCGCGAGGGACCGACTGTGCTCGACCCTCAGTCTTCATCTTGTCCCTCCTCTTCCTCACAGTGCGTCCTCGAGTGAAGCTCTACATGCACATACACACATTTAGGAAAATGTTGTCCGTCTTAATTCTTAACACAGATAAATGTAATGGTGAAGAGTGTAATTTGTTGCATGTCAAAGGGATAGTAAATAAATAACAAATAAATAATAAAAATAAATCTGTATGACTGACTTTCGTCAAGTGGAACACAAAAGGGTTTTTTTTTAGGTTTTTTTTGTTGCTCCCCATGTAATTGAAGTTAATGGGGTCTGATGTTGCTCTGCACCCCATTAAATGTCATGGTCAAAAAAAACAGTTTTGTGTGTGTGTGTGTTCCAGAGAAGAAAGTCATACAGATTTTGACTGAAATAAGGTTTCCCACCAAAGAGTTTTTAGTTATTTGAAAATGCCAGGTGCTCTTCTTGGCTATTTTTTGTCAGTTTTTTCAGTCCACACACATTGGTTGCTATGTAAGGTAATTGTTCTGTCTCTCGTTTTAAACGTTTTATTCTGTTGTTGTGCTTGTTGTTGTCGTCTGTTGTTGCTGTGTTGCGGTTGGTCAATGTGTTTTCTGTCCCGCCCTCCTTCACTGTGATTGGACAGCTAGGTAAAAAGTGATGGCGATGAGCACTGCGTTTTACCCAAAGTTGAACATTTTTCAACTCTCGGCATCCGGAAAAATCTGAAAGCACTCAGCGCATCATCATCCTGGCGTTTCTAAATATGCAGCGCTCCCATTGAAGACGATTGAGAGAGGAAAAATATGCTGGCCTTAGGTGAGTAAATGATGTGTAAGTAGTGAGTAAATGATGTGTAAGTAGTGAGTAAATGATGTGTAAGTAAGTAGTGAGTAAATGATGTGTAAGTAGTGAGTAAATGATGTGTAAGTAAGTAGTGAGTAAATGATGTGTTAGTAGTGAGTAAATGATGTGTAAGTAGTGAGTAAATGATGTGTAAGTAGTGAGTAAATGATGTGTAAGTAGTGAGTAAATGATGTGTAAGTAGTGAGTAAATGATGTGTAAGTAGTGAGTAAATGATGTGTAAGTAGTGAGTAAATGATGTGTAAGTAAGTAGTGAGTAAATGATGTGTAAGTAAGTAGTGAGTAAATGATGTGTAAGTAGTGAGTAAATGATGTGTAAGTAAGTAGTGAGTAAATGATGTGTTAGTAGTGAGTAAATGATGTGTAAGTAGTGAGTAAATGATGTGTAAGTAGTGAGTAAATGATGTGTAAGTAGTGAGTAAATGATGTGTAAGTAGTGAGTAAATGATGTGTAAGTAGTGAGTAAATGATGTGTAAGTAGTGAGTAAATGATGTGTAAGTAGTGAGTAAATGATGTGTAAGTAGTGAGTAAATGATGTGTAAGTAGTGAGTAAATGATGTGTAAGTAAGTAGTGAGTAAATTATGTGTAAGTAGTGAGTAAATGATGTGTAAGTAAGTAGTGAGTAAATGATGTGTTAGTAGTGAGTAAATGATGTGTAAGTAGTGAGTAAATGATGTGTAAGTAGTGAGTAAATGATGTGTAAGTAGTGAGTAAATGATGTGTAAGTAGTGAGTAAATGATGTGTAAGTAGTGAGTAAATGATGTGTAAGTAGTGAGTAAATGATGTGTAAGTAGTGAGTAAATGATGTGTAAGTAGTGAGTAAATGATGTGTAAGTAAGTAGTGAGTAAATGATAAGTAAGTAGTGAGTAAATGATGTGTAAGTAGTGAGTAAATGATGTGTAAGTAAGTAGTGAGTAAATGATGTGTTAGTAGTGAGTAAATGATGTGTAAGTAGTGAGTAAATGATGTGTAAGTAGTGAGTAAATGATGTGTAAGTAGTGAGTAAATGATGTGTAAGTAGTGAGTAAATGATGTGTAAGTAGTGAGTAAATGATGTGTAAGTAGTGAGTAAATGATGTGTAAGTAGTGAGTAAATGATGTGTAAGTAGTGAGTAAATGATGTGTAAGTAGTGAGTAAATGATGTGTAAGTAGTGAGTAAATGATGTGTAAGTAGTGAGTAAATGATGTGTAAGTAGTGAGTAAATGATGACAGAACTTTCATATTTGGATGAACTTACCCTTTAAAGTGTTAAGCCAATTCTGATGTATTCATCTGTACATATCTGATCTGATATTTGTTCATCTGACACTTGTGTCTATTTGTCCTCTAAGTTCAAAAATATTTGTATTGTTCTGCATCAGGTTAAATCTGGAGTGAAATCGTCCTTTGGCTCATGTAAGATTAGTGAATTAGTGAATCATGAAGGATGTGCATGAAGCTGAGCAAGAGCAATTCATATTCAATTAATTCCTAAAGCATCCCACTTGAAACTTGATAAATAATAGATAATAAATCAAGAAAAAATAAATAATTGAAAAATAGAATTTGAATGTTGTTGTTTTTTTTTTAATTTTTTTCTTCTTCTATTGAGCATATAATGAAAATGTAGGAGATATATTTGTTCTTGTCATATCAATGGCTCTTGAGTATGCGTGTGTTTTCGTACCTGCGGGGCTTTGGTGAGCAGCAGAGCCACTTCAGGATTATCATTTTCACGAGCCTGATCGAGGGCCGTCTCTCCTGTCTTCACCCAAAACAGACACACAGCTAAGAACCATGCACATATTCACAGTTAAATGTGTCATTTCTGCTGCGTGCCAACCTAGAGAACCATGTTCCTTTAAGTCAATCATTCTATCCCTTAAAGACCCACTCCGATGAAAATAATGTTTTTCTAGGTGTTAACATGTTCTTGTGGCATTTTTCTTATGTTAGAGGACATATCTTGAGAAAAATAAGCTCAAAGTTGTATTTCTGAGTATTTCTACATTCAAATGGCTGTGAATCAGTAGCAGACGCTAAAATGCCGTTTAAAATAGACTGGAGTTGTGACGTAGTAACTCCACTGGGCGGGGCCACAAGCTTGTTAAAATTAATCGAAAGTGCCCCTCTCAAACAAATATCAATGATAATATTGTTTTCAATAAAACAAAATGCATTTGATTATAATTAACATGACAATGTGACAAAATTCACGTTTACTTGTATGTTTCTGTCGGTTTGAGCTGTCGTTGCCATGACTCGTTGCTATGGGTTGCGTCACTTGCGTGTCTTGCATCGGACTCGACTGAAGGGGTCAGTCTCCGTTTTCGAGGCCGAGGGTCAGTAATGTGGACGGCAGGAGCGCATAAATAATCGTTGCAAAAGTTATGCGTTTTAAAACGAAAACGCACTGTACGGCTGGATAGCTCCAATATTGCTCTCAATTTTTGTTGCACCGGTAATGACAGGTTGGGGGTGTAAGCTAGCGGGAGAGACAGAGCTCTCAGCAACGGGCAGGGGGAGGGGCGTCTCCGTGCCAACGGCTCCGCCCACAACGCAGAGGCGAATTGCTAATGAGCTACTGCCGCTCTGCTGAAGCAAAGTCCCAGAAAACGGCACAGGTTTTGTGAGTTTGGCTAAAAATGGCATAATCATAATTTAAAGACCACTGGGAATGTTTACAAATAGCTCAAAATATGATCGGAGTGGGACTTTAAAACTCATATTTGATCACCAAAATTACATATTTAAATGTTTTTTCCGTGAAAAAATCTTCATGCCTTAAAACAGCTTGAATGTAACTCGACACCCTTGCTTCATTTAGTATGCGCGGTTCTATTAATATGCAGATGAGCCCCGCCTCCACTCACTCCCTCAGCTCAGAGATCCACTGGTTGACGATCACACGTTGATCTGATTGGTTACAAGGTCGTTTGTGACGTCAGAAACACCAGCGATTTCAAACCGTGTTTTTGAGACTGTCTTTGGTTCACTGCAATTTTAAGGAGGAAATACTCAGCAATGCTGTCGACTTATGAACTTACACATGGTTTGTTTTAAAGTACATTAAAAACAAGGGATGTTTTAAGGGATAAAATGATTGACTACAGGGGGACTTTAACTAACTTGCTCTGTAAGATTCAGCCTACTTGTGTTGCGTTATGAATTTCGCTCAGACACATTATGTGAAACTGCATCAGTGTATCATATCGAGAGGCATTTGTGTTCAAGCACTTGTGTAGAGCGTTTCAGGGCTACACTAAGCTCATGAAATATTTCTGAAGGTGCTCACATTGTTTTTGACGCGGCTGTCGGCCCCAGCCTCCAGTAACATGCGCACAGTCTTCCTGTGGTTCAGCGCAGCTGCGATGTGTAAAGCGGAGTCCCCTGCCTGGACATCACATTAATTACAGCTTACACAAGATCAGGAAAATGGGTCGTCCCGTGTCAACTTAACCAGAGGTCCCCGGATTAAAAGTTTGATTTTGATCTTTTTTTCCAGAAAATACATAAATGAAGAAGAATGCCAAAGAATTAAAAGCCATGAATGAATATTTTAGTAATCCACTAGTTTGTAGAGAGGGGGGTCAAAATAACAACTTGACCATTTTTACCTTTGGAGCCAATTTACAGGGGTGTACAAATGACTTTAGAAAGATGGCAGCATCATCATTTTATTTTTTACACAGAGATTGGTGGGTCTATTAGTAAAATAAGTTGACTTTAGCAATCTTTGTTGCATTATATGTCAACAGTGACAGATAAAAAATTGGAAAAAGCAGTTTTAGGTTTAAAAAGCTAGCATGCCTGTAACTCACAAGGAATTTAAGATATCTTCTTAAAGGATTAGTTCACCTCAAAATGAAAATTTAAACAATAAACTGACACAAAGACTTGTCATTCAACATACAATAAAATTTAAACGATCCTCCACGCTTGTAAACAATGGGGCGGCACTTCCGCCTACGTCCAGCGTGACCTTCCCAACGGGATGACATAATGCCTGGCGCGTCGCAGACCAGCACAAGACCATCAATTGTGGTTAAAAAGTATATACATTTTTATTGTTTTTTTTTAGAAAATGAGCGATGGTTTCTCTAGATAAGACCCTCTTCCTCAGCTGATCGTGCACAGCCGGTTGAAGCTCTTCAGAGACCTTTGAAACTGCACTGATTTGGACTTCAACAATTTGGTTGACGTTGAAGTCCATTATTCGAAGAAAAATCCTGAATTGTTTTCCTCAAAAAACGTATTTTCTCTTCCACTAAGGAAAGAAAGACATGGATATCTTGGATGGCATTGGGGTGAGTCAATTATCAGGAAATTTTCATTTTGAGGTGAACTAATCCTTTAATATCCATTTAGAAGTTTGTTCTTAACTAATGTTTGTTTGTTTTTTGCAACATTCTTATTTGTTTGTTGACAAAAAAGTGCTTTTTCACATTTCTGAACTGTCATCATTGGCATATACTGCAACAAAGATTGCAGTTCCACTATTTTACAGTGTGTGTACTAACAGTGTAGTTCCCCAAGAATATAAGGTGACTACATGGGTTAAGGTGAGGGTTTGGGGTAGATTCAGGTTTAGTACCTAGTTATTATAATTGCTATAATAAGTACATAGTGTGTAGATGCAGAACAGGACTGAAATAAAGTGCTACCAAGATTGCTAAAGTCAACAGATTTTACTAATAGACCTACAAATCTCTGTGTAAAAAAAAGAAGACATCTTTCTGAAGTCATTTAACCTCCTCCTGTTATTTAGCTCCAATATCAGGTGAAAATTATCATTTTTACCCCCCTTTACAAAATAGTGGATTACTCAGTAAATATACTCTACATCTATGGCGTTAATATTTTGGCTTTCATCACTATTTATGTATGTCTTTCTTCAGAAAAAAATTTTTTAGCCGGGGAAGTTTTTAAAGTTTGTTTGATCCGACACAGAATGACTGGTTTAAAACACTTTTAGAAGTAGTATAGCACGTCCCGAGTCCCAAAAGCAGTCCTCACTCCTCACTCACGTGGTTTCGTTCAGTAACCGAGCAGACGGCACCCAGGAGCGCTCGGATCACACTCACATGGTTATACCGGGCAGACACATGCAGACACGTGTCCCCTACCTGAGGAAAACAAGTCCACTGAATATTACTGGAATAGCTTGATGTTTCCCAGTTAAATAACCAACACACAGATGAAGAGGCGAGTATCAGAGAGGAAGCAGTTTGAAGGCACTCACGCTGTTCTTGCTGTCGGGCCGAGAGCCGCCCAGCAGCAGGACCTTCGAGCTCTGAGCGTGACCGTTCTGACACGCCAGGTGAAGAGCTGTGTTCCCTGCCTGAGAGACATCCAGAACACACACACAATTATACTGACGGGAATACTAGTTTCCCAGTTCAAAAATGGGACATGAACACCCTCTCAAGTCAACATTTGCAAGCGACGAGCTCGTAATCACGACTTCAGAAGTGGGAAGTAGGAATTTTCCGATAGCACGTTAATCTCAATCTCAATTTATTTATAACGGACAATTAAAAACAACCGCAGTTGACCAATGTGCTGTACAATGTCCTAAAGCCAAAAAAAATGAATAAAAATAAGATAACAATAACATTACAAGTCATAGGCTACAGAAAAGAGATACGTTTTTAATTTAAAAATATGTAATGCTGTTGCAGTGCTAATATGAATCAGTAAACTGCTCCGAAGGTTAGGTGTGGATGAAGGCAGCATTACTGGATCCGGATGCAGTCCTGAATGCTGATTGGTCAACAGAGCTTTAAAATAGATTGAGTATTAAATATTCATCTTAAAGGGTTAGTTCACCCCAAAATGAAAATTCTGTTCGTTTGTTCCAACCCCGTAAGACTTTCGTTCATCTTCGGGACACAAATTAAGAAATTTTTGATTAAATCTGAGAGCTGGATCACTCCTCCATAGGCTTCTGAGGGATCGAAACTGGCCGGCCCAAAAGTTATGAAAGACATCGTTACAATAGTCCGAGTGACGACAGTGGCTCAACCTTAAGTTTATCAAGCGACGAGAAAACCTTTTGTGCGCGAAAAACAAACAAAAATAACGACTTTATTCAAGTATTCATTTCCTTCTCTGTGGGCCGTGAGATTTCACGTAGTGTAACAGCGCAGCGCTTCTGTGTTGTACGTCACACGCAGGCTCACTATTGGCCGACGCTGGTCATGTGTTCGATCCCTTCAGAAGCCTATGGAGGAGTGATCCAGCTCTCAGATTTAATCAGAAATATCTTCATTTGTGTCCCGAAGATGAACGAAAGTCTTACGGGGTTGGAACAACATGAGGGCGAGTAATTACTGACAGTTTTCATTTTTGGGTGAACTATCCCTTTAAGGCACAGGCTTGATCTTCTGATGGAAGGATGCCACTTTATGAATGCATAAATTATCATCATAATCAAATAAACACTGACATACACATTTGTATTCATTTATTCATTTAAACGATGTATTGAGTGTTTTATTATTGCAATAAGGCTGTGCTGTAATGTGAACCATAACTAGTTATGATTGAAGGGGTTGCAGAGCTGCATGAGACTGAAACTATGAAACGTTAATGAGCCTCCAAACAACATCATCACGTGTGCAATGCATTAACGATTGTAGTGACATCACCCAAACACAAGATCAGTCGGAAAACAACCAACCAAGCACTACCATTTGATTGATTAATCATATACAGTCCTCAACATTTGAAGTGGATCGAAACCTTTCATCAAAGTTATACATGAATTTTGAACAATACCCGTTGTTGTCTCAGGACAACTTTGATGAGCTTTACTGATCCTCTTTAAATGTTGACTTCTGCACTACATGCAAATACTTGATGTCGGGTGTTTGAGCGCGGCAGAAGATGGTACCTTGTTTTTAGCGTGCACGTTGGCTCCAGCCTTCACCAGCAGTTTGACAGACTGACTGAAGCCGTGCCACGCAGCCTCGTGTAGAGCAGTGTTCCCATCCTGAGGAGACACACAGATACTGCACAATCCCTATTTTAAACGCACACACACCAGCCACAGGTACACTTCATTAACTGCACGTTAAAGGGGTCATATAATGGTACATGCACTTTTACAAGTTGATTGTACTGAAATGTGTGTTGGCAGTGTCTGTACACAACCATCATATAATGATAAAAATCCATCCAGTGTTTTTGTTTTAATCTTCTTATATGTTTTCCCCTGCCTCAAATCGAGCCGTTCGACCCTGTGACGTCACACGCTCGGAAGCCCCTCCCACGATTGTTGATTGACAGCATCGTTTCAACACAGACCCGCCCTCGCTCGTGAGCCAGCTGTCAATCATAGTCTGCGCGGACCGGCGCGGTCATTGTTGATATGCTGGAGCACTGTCTATGAGCAGAATGGCGTCTAAGCGATTGTGGTGTTCTGTTCTTGGGTGTAATAACGAACACAGTCATTTTAATGTTCCTAAATCCGAACCGCTGAAGAGGCAGTGGCTGAGTTTGTTTTCGAAGGGAATATTCCCCACGAGCAACGTCAATGCTCTCATGTTTGCGCGAATCATTTCTCACCAGACTGCTTATAAACGAGGAGGTATAAAGCTGGATTTGCTAAGAAGCTGCTCATGAAAAAAGGATCGGTATCAGCTATTTGTGTTTCTGCTGAATCTCCAGAAGAACTGAAGTGAGTGTAACGTTTTATTAATCTTTATATTAATATATTAATCTTTGCAAATCGCTAGCTGCACGCTTCACAATGAATGCGTCTAAGGTTTACACTCAGGGTACATTACGGCATGTTTTCTATGTATGATGTTCTCAATATAATTCATAATCCCACGTCTATAATGAACAACGCATTATGGTTATTGTGTTACAAACGGTGTACGCACAGAACAGAGAGGCGGGGTGAGCAAAGCTCAATATCATTTAAAGTCATATGCACTGAAACGGCGTGCTGAAAACAGAGCTGTTTTTGACCAAGTAAAATAAGTGTTTTCTTACAATACTAATGAGAATTTTTAATTAAAGTATATTACAAACTTTTAATTTAGACCCTAAAGAATCATATTAGCTTGTACAAAAATGGCATTATATGACCCCTTTAATGCAAATATCTTCTCAGCCAATCGTTTGGAAGCAGCTCAATGTTGGACTTGTGTCAATGGTTCAGGCTGGTGTAATGGTGTGTGGATTATTTTCTTGACACACTTTGCGCCCCTTAGTACCAACTGAGCAACGTTTAAATGCCACAGCCGACCTAAATATCGTTGCCTCTTCCAGCAGGATAGCAGGCCATGTCCCAAAGCTCAACTAATCTCAAAGCACTCAAACGGCCTTCAGTCACCAGATCTCAATCGAGCCGCTTTGAGATGTGGAGGAACAGGAGTTCCTAATGTGCCGTTAAATGTACAGTAACATTTTGAAAAAGATGTCTATTTTTATTAATACTATTTTTATTCCTGGTTTTCTTACTATTTTTATGCACATGTGCGCAGGACAAATTCCTTGTACATGTTGTACTTGGCAATTAAAGCTGATTCTGATTCTGAGGAGATTCAATATGGAGCAAAATCTCTGAGGAATGTCTCCTTGCTGAATCTGTGCCATGAAGAATTAAGGCAGTTCTGAAGCCAAAAGAGGGTTCAACCCGGCACTAGCAAGGTGTACCTAATAAAGTGGCCTTTCAGTGTGTATATGCATTCATGAATAATATATATATATATGTGTGTAGTTGTAGAAAGGCATCAAATGATGTCACTTCCTATGTGTCACACGTTCAAGGAATAAAAAAAAATTGGGTAACACTTTACTTGAAGGGATGTGCATAAGACTGACATGACACCTTCATAATCATGACATGACACACGTCAGGTGGTTGGTTTTGACATTGGCTGTCATGAGGCCATTATAACATTTTAATGACAAATTCAATGTGTGCCACTGTAGTCGAGGTCAAGAAAAATATTCATGACACAGTTATAATGGCCTCATGACAGCCAATGTCAAAACCAACCACATGACAGTTTAATGTAATGTTAACCAATAAAGCTAAGTGGTTTCTTAAGTTTGATAATTAATCTGCTATGTCATGTTTATGACAGGTTGTGTTGTCTTAGTAATGTCAAGTTGTCATGACCAAGACACTGACAGGTTATGATGTATTGGTTTATGTCAAGTTGTCATAACAAAGACATCTCAAACAATGTCATATTTGCATTAAAAATGTCATAATTGAGTGAATGACACTTAATGACAGTTGTCATAAACATGCATAAAACCTCCTTCATATTTTTATGCCATGTGTCATGTCATGATTATGAAGGTGTCATGTCAGTCTTATGCACACCCCTTCAAGTAAAGTGTTACCAAAACTTGTAATCGGGGGAAATGTTGCGGTAGGTTCGAGCACAAATGCGTCTGTTGTCCCAGGAGCTGATCTCCTACATAACTGTGATAGTTTCACTCCATGGTCTCCTTCTCACATAATAAAAGTATTTACACTCCAATCAATATTCCAGTTATTTGACCAGATTACTGTACATTATGCTTTACATATATACATATGTGCAGTGAAAGGAATGAAAACAGAGCAGTGCAACTCCTGCTATAGTAAGTGTTTTTCTAGCATATATGGGAATGAGAAATATGTACCTTGTCTTGTCTATCTAGTGCACATCCTTCCTGAACGAGCGCGGAGATGACGTCAGTGTTCCCCACCACAGCGGCTCTGTGCACGGCTGTCTGGTCACCCTGAGGGAGAACAACACATCCGTCAAGCCGTGCGGATCCTGATGTCTGGCTCAGTGTGTGGGTTATGGGACAGGTGTCTAGGAACCTGCAACGGTGTGTGTTACTCTCACTGACACGCTGCGAAGGGATGCTTTTAAAACAAGGCCCGAAACAGTTTAGCAATCTTGTTTTGGACAAATCTTTCCGACAGATTTCTGATTCTGGTCAAAACACGACAACAGATTTTGAATTATTTAAAAAGAAATGCTGTATAAATATGATTTTGTTTGCTGTGGCGCTATAGATTCGATAGAAGTGCAGGACACACGGTTTAAGATCAACATTTCTCTGTTTTCAGGATCTTCTGTAAAATCAGGATTCTTTCTCTGGAGCAGAAAGAAAAACAAAAAATGGCATGGTTGCCAAAACACAGATAAGGTTCATGAAAACAAATGTCAGTTTGTATTGTGGAACACCATCTGTCCAAAATATGAAGGAAAAATACTAAAACTATAAACGTGCTGTGCTCTGTTCCTCATCGCTCTTCAGACCGGAGTATAATGCGTGAGTTATGGTGCTTTTATGCTTTTCCTCAAAACATCTGCTTTTGTGCTGCACAGAAGAAAGTCATGGGCGTTTGCAAGGAAACTGGTGTAAGTTTCTGGGTGAATTCTTCTTTTAAATGTACATAGATGTTTATGACTCTTCAGTTGCACTATATAATGTTTCAAAAACCCAATTACTAGTTTAGTGGGTTTTTATTTTTAATGTAGTCATTCAGACAAAAGTGGCCCAAATCAGTTTTTTTCTTAACAGAAGTACGTGGAGTCTGATGTTTCCGGTTCTGCTTGATCTGGATCAGATCCAGGTCTGATGTTCAGCAGTGTGACTCTGAAGAGTCGTCTCAGATTAGACCTCAGTATTCTGACAGCTTTCTGAATTTAACACGGATGAATTTAAAGTTTCAATTTTAAAGTTTTAGTAGTTTTGTGTTTTTGTCATTTTTCTTTGACTATTTAGTATTTTATTAATTATTATCTCAGTTTAAGTTTATTTCCGAACATAAAGTTGAAAATGTGAAATATTGCTGAAATAAAATAAGTTCATATTTTATTTCAAGCATAATATATATATATATATATATACACACTCACCTAAAGGATTATTAGGAACACCTGTTTAATTTCTCATTAATGCAATTATCTAATCAACCAATCACATGGCAGTTGCTTCAATGCATTTAGGGGTGTGGTCCTGGTCAAGACAATCTCCTGAACTCCAAACTGAATGTCAGAATGGGAAAGAAAGGTGATTTAAGCCATTTTGAGCGTGGCATGGTTGTTGGTGCCAGACGGGCCGGTCTGAGTATTTCACAATCTGCTCAGTTACTGGGATTTTCACGCACAACCATTTCTAGGGTTTACAAAGAATGGTGTGAAAAAGAAAAAACATCCAGTATGCGGCAGTCCTGTGGGCGAAAATGCCTTGTTGATGCTAGAGGTCAGAGGAGAATGGGCCGACTGATTCAAGCTGATAGAAGAGCAACTTTGACTGAAATAACCACTCTTTACAACCGAGGTATGCAGCAAAGCATTTGTGAAGCCACAACATGCACAACCTTGAGGCGGATGGGCTACAACAGCAGAAGACCCCACCGGGTACCACTCATCTCCACTACAAAAAGGAAAAAGAGGCTACAATTTGCAAGAGCTCACCAAAATTGGGACAGTTGAAGACTGGAAAAATGTTGCCTGGTCTGATGAGTCTCGATTTCTGTTGAGACATTCAGATGTTAGAGTCAGAATTTGGCGTAAACAGAATGAGAACATGGATCCATCATGCCTTGTTACCACTGTGCAGACTGGTGGTGGTGGTGTAATGGTGTGGGGAATGTTTTCTTGGCACACTTTAGGCCCCTTAGTGCCAATTGGGCATCGTTTAAATGCCAAGGCCTACCTGAGCATTGTTTCTGACCATGTCCATCCCTTTATGGCCACCATGTACCCATCCTCTGATGGCTACTTCCAGCAGGATAATGCACTGTGTCATAAAGCTCGAATCATTTCAAATTGGTTTCTTGAACATGACAATGAGTTCACTGTACTAAAATGGCCCCCACAGTCACCAGATCTCAACCCAATAGAGCATCTTTGGGATGTGGTGGAACGGGAGCTTCGTGCCCTGGATGTGCATCCCACAAATCTCCATCAACTGCAAGATGCTATCCTATCAATATGGGCCAACATTTCTAAAGAATGCTTTCAGCACCTTGTTGAATCAATGCCACGTAGAATTAAGGCAGTTCTGAAGGCGAAAGGGGGTCAAACACAGTATTAGTATGGTGTTCCTAATAATCCTTTAGGTGAGTGTATATCATATAACATAATATATACATAGTTAAGTCTTTTTTTATTTTATAGAAAGATTAGACTTCAACAGTGACTTTGCCCAAGGGAAAACCTAGACACGTCATCAATGATATGTTTGTGTTTACGAGAAAATGCTGCAAACATGTTATACTCACATCATCTTGAATATCCAGGTCACATCCAGCAGCGAGCAGAATCCTCACAACAGCAATGTGGCCTTTATAGGCAGCCAAATGCAGAGGTGTTCTGCCATTCTGCAAGAAAACAACACACACACACAATCAGGCACTCAAACACACACACAGACAGACTTTAACAGCTATCAGTCTATCTGAATGGAGGGCAAGCGAGTGAATGTGTGTGGGACGAAACAGAAGTGTGACCGTGATGCAAAGCAAACCTGCACAGTCCCAGTCTCACGATGAGCGAGAGTAAATAAAAATGTGATGTTTGAGTTCACATGATCTAGTAGCAGGAACACATCATCAGTCCTCTTTTCTAGTTTTAGCACTGATTAATCTCCCCGAGGACTGCGGTCAGGAGACTGTCACCAAGAGAAAGTGACTTATGTAACAGACAACACATTTCACACAGTGTGTGTGTTCTGGCTGCTGTATCACACAAGGCACGTCCTTTTTTGCAAACAAACGTCACGTATTAGAGAGGCCGTTCTTATTATGTAGTGCATTTTCAAGTCCCCATGTGTCTTAATACAATGGATAAAATACTAAACTCACCAATAAATATATACATGTCACTCCTTTGGTTTGAGTGGATGTTGATTTTTGTCATGTGCAGGTGCAGATATGAGGATTAAGATCTATTAAGAATATTCCAGGTGTTTGGTCATTTGTTCCTTTATGTAATCGAAATATTTCAAACCAAAGTTTCTTTTAAAAACTTCCTTAATGACATCATCCGCCAGGAAGTGATGTCATTTTTGTGGGAAAATAACAGCACAGTAATTATTAGCTATAAATCTGATTAATTCTGTTATGTTCTGTGCTTTGTCATTCTAAAACGTATTGTTTGATCTGTTGTTTGATCAAATTATAGAAATCCATTTGATAATATCAATATTTCAAAAGAAATAATTTTGACAGAACTTAAAAAGTATATACAGTGTACAGTGCAGGTCAGAATTATTTGCCCCCTTGGTAAATATGATCAAAGATGCCTGTAAAAAATAAATCTGCATTGTTTATCCTTTTGATATTTTATTCTAAAAATTAGCAAAAATCTAACCTTTCATTGAAGTAAATGAATTGAGGGGGGGAGGAGGGGGGGGGGGGGGGTATTAAAACAGGATTTATCTAAAATAGAAAGCTTTTGTAACATTATTACTACCGTTCAAAAGTTTGGGGTCAGTACAATTTTTGGGGTTTTTTGGAAAGAAATGAAAGAAAGTAATAATTTTATTCAGCAAAGATCCATTAAATTGATCAAAAGTGACAGTATAGACATTTATTATGCTGCAAAAGCTTTCCATTTCAGACAAATGCTGTTCTTTTGAACTTTCTATTCATCAAATAATCCTGAAAAGAAATTGTACACAACTGCTTTCAAAATTGATAATAATAATAATAAATGTTTCTTGATCATCAAATCATCATATTAAAATGATTTATGAAGGATCATGTGACACTGAAGACTGGAGTAATGATGCTGAAAATTCAGTTTGCCATCACAGGAATAAATTACATTTTAACATATATTCAAAGAGAAAATAGTTATTTTAAATCGTAAAAATATTTCACAATATTACTGTTTTTGCTGTATTTTGGATCAAATAAATGAAGCCTTGGTGAGCAGAAGAGACTTCTTTTAAAACATTAAAAAATCGTACCGTTCTCATAATTTTGGCCAACACTGTATATATATATATATATATATATATATATATATATATATTAAAGTTGACATTGCTATGTGTTTGTGAACTAGTTTGAGGATGAGTGATTTTAACTCTATTTCTATCCAGTCAATCATCATGTTCATTAAATCGCTATTGTGCAAAAAAAAAAAAAAAATTGCATATAATGCATTTTTATAATGCATAAAGTTTAAATGCCTAAGTTTGATCAGAGCATTTTTCTGAAATATCTGGTATATCCTAAAGAAATGTCCTATGGAAATAATAAATCCCAACATTTCTTCAGAAGGTGCTGCTGTATAACAGTGACCAGCTGGTTAAATGGACATCTAACTTTACAAAGGTTTCTTGTGAACAACAGCATGAGATGAAGAAGTGGCATCAGACACATGAAGGGGAGACCGATATTAGAGGACTCGCCCAGGGGTTCCCAAACTTTACTGTCAGCCAAATCCCTTAAAATGTCAAATATTTACTTTAGTACCCCCTCAGATTTTTTTAAGGCAAGATTTTCAATAATTTAACGACATTCACAGTTATCTGATGTTGGTTAATGGTCACATGACATGTAAACAGATAAATTAGCTCATCTTTTTTAGTATGAGTTTAATTTTGATGGTTTTTATTTTAAAAAAGGAGCGCTCACACTTGGATTCTCTCTTTACAAGAACCAACCAACACTCAAATCATCAAGCTTTTGTTTTGGCATTGCTGAAATGCTGTAAACGTCTGTCCACAAAAATGTGGGAAATTGTGTGAGTGTGACCAAGTAAGTGAACCTAGCGCACATTAAGCTCCCAAATGAGTGTTAAAATCACAGCATTTACTGTGAACCGAGCTGATCTGAAAACACTGTGTAAAGGAGCACGCAGAGCAACAGACTTCTTTAAATCACAGCCTTTGATTTGATGTCACTATTTCTGTTTTATTTCGTTTAATTGTGCACCCATCCATTTGTTTTTTAAAGGGCACCTATTATGCCCCTTTTCCACAAGATGTCAAATAAGTCTCTGATGTCCCCTGAGTGTGTATGTGAAGTTTTAGCTCAAAATACCCCACAGATACTTTTTTTTACAGCATGTTTAAATTTTCACTTTTCGGGGCTGAGAAAAACGCACCGTTTTAGTGAGTTTCCCTTTAAATGCAAATGAGCTGCTGCCGGCCCAGGGGGCGGAGCCTCACGAGCTCGCGGGACAATCTCATCTCACGGAAAGATAATATCAGAAGAGAAACTCTCAGTAGTTGTCCGTCAAACTGCAGTGTCCGTCAACAGTCGTGGGCGGGGCTTGTGCAGAAGTACGTCACACTGCCCTGAATCTGAGAACGGCTTGTTCTGAGACAGTGCTTATGATTTATCAAGGGGGTAATCCACCAGCCGGAAACTGAAGTCTCCACGGGCGCCGCCATTGGCTAACAAGCCTTCACCTGCTGTTAGCACTCCATTGACTCCCATTCATTTTGGCGTCACTTTGACAGCGAATAACTTTACATCTGAGGCGTTTAAAGACTCCATTTGTCCATTATTTATTTCTAAAGAAACACAACAATGTATAAAATGCTCCACTACCTTGTATCTTACGTTATGGCCCCGTAGAAGCAGTTTTAGTAAAAATAGGCTAACGATTGTGTCATAACACGCGACTCTCAGTCGCACAGTAGAGAAATTACCGTAAAGACAGATGTAGAAGCTCGCGCGCAATCGGAGGGACGTGGAGGCATAAAGTCGAGGGAGAAGCCCATAGAGAGTCATAAAGTTGCTCCTGCTGCTCATGGACAGCTAATACTCACGATCTCCGGCTCTGTGAGATCCGGAAGGGAATGATTCAGATTCCTCTTGGCACCGCTAGTATAGTCGCAAAATGGCCGCCGCTGCGTTTATATGAAACAAGAGAGAGCGAGTCCACGATACTGGATGACATCATTACATTCTGTACACAAAATATTGATTTGACTGAGTTTTAATATTTCATTAGCTCACCAAACGCAAAACTTTCACGAAGAAAAAACGTTCCTAGCAAGCGTTAAAGCGCTGCTGACTTCAGGGACCCGGATGAGCCTGTGTTTCTGTTTTTAGCGATTGCTATTTAGGAATAACACACCGCCGGATGGCGCGATTGACCAATCAGAATCAAGTATTCCACAGAGCCGTGTAATATGCTTATGGACTCGACTGCTCAAAACTACCTTTATATGCTGAGATTGGATATACAGCATCGTGCAGCACTAGCTTGAGTTAATAATTTGGGGACAAACAGAGGAGGTTGTTCACCCGCCTGAAAATACACAGATTATAATGAGTTTTCTCAATCTCAAGATTTCACAAGCTCCCATTTTCCAGTTACACAGACAGAAAAACAAAACTGCAAATGCATGTAACGTTAAGTTGATATAACAAGTGTGGTGACAATAAGGCCACGTGTGAGAAACCGTTTGAGCGCTCATGTGCATTTAAAGAGCAGCTGTCACCAGAGATTATTTCTGGCCACAGTTTAACCTGCAGTCACACAAATAACAATACTTTATGCTGCATTAACGGCAATGAGACGTCCTCTAGTCAACATTATGTGTTGCATTATCACTATGTCAGAAATAACTATTGTGTTCCTTTCATTAAAGCCCAGACCCCTGTGAATTATGGAGCAGGCTCTCAGTTTCCCTCCTGTGTGAAATCTGTTCTGTTCAAATGCTCTCTGATTGTAGGAAACAGACCCTGCCTTTGTTTCAGAAACTCAAAAAGGTGACTGTACATCAGTAATTAAAGTCTATTATAAATAAATAAATATATTATAAATTATATATCCATGCACATTCTTTTTTTTTTCAATTCATGTGCCCTCATAATCTAGCCTGGTTAAAACCAGACCATTCTCAGTTGTAACTGAGTTATGGTCTGGTAAAGCGTCATAGACAAATCATTTCCAGAGGGGCGTCACCAACGGACGTCGCGGATAGACCTAAACCCAATCAGAGCGATGAAGGAGATGACGTATGCAGAGCGGCGGAGAAACATCTCCGAGTGTTGGTCTTTGCTCGGTTTTTAACAAATAGGAAACGTTTAAATGGCTTAAAACAGACGCGATAGCTGATTGGAACGAGTGATGTTCGACGGCGGCATCCATCTTTGTAATGTAGGCTACAAAATCTGCTTCAAAATCCCAGCGCTGTCGTCATCGTGTAAAGCCCGCCCCAACGCTTCTGATTGGTGCCTCGATTTCGACGGATTGGAAATGGGCTTGAATGAGCTCTTTGCCAGACTAACTTTCAGAGCAAATCTAAATTTGCCAGAAGTTGTCTGGGTTTTCCCAGGCTACTCATAATCTTTAAAATATCTTCCCCTTCCTCTTTCAGCTCTTCTTTTCTCTTCTCTGATGAGGGCGGGGC